AGCCACGACGACAACGACAACGACGACGACGACGACGACGTACGCGGCGCGACGCGTCCACGAGGGCCGACGAGGGAATCACTTTGTAACACTTTCACGATGCAATTACACGAGCTTGCGTGTGCGTGAGCGCGCGTCAACGAACGAGCGGAGTCAGCATACCGTGGCGCGCGCTGCACACATAGACGCGCCGATAGACACGCCGAGTGCGCGTCTCTAATAATACCAGTAATCATAATTAATTGCTCCGATCCACGCCGGGCGACGACGAGATTGCCTCTCAGGAGTGCGCGCCGCAGTGACGTACGGAGACTGTTCGCGACCTGGGGAATAATTTTCCGGAGCGTAAACACGACGCATGTAATTTTAAAGCGTTGGTTTTTTTTTTTATACAAATAGATGCGCGCCAAGAAAATTGTCGTGAGACAGATCGCGGGACAGATCTCGAATTACTTACTTCTGGGAGAGATCGAGAGTCGGAAACGAAATCGATACCGCCAAATATACAATACGTCCAATGACATTTCACCGAGTGACACACACGCTCCGCGTCTAATCTCGGATTATAACGTTAACTCTTTTCATTAAAGTAAAATGAGAGAGGAGTGGGGTAATATTTCGGATAACGTTTCGGATCCCCAAGTGCCTCCGGAGAGATGCCTATGAGACCCCTTGACAGCTGAAACTCGGAGCTTGGGTTTCATTAATTTGCACGCAGATTGCACCCCTCCCCCTTGTACGTACGTGGTAACGGGACGAGGAGGAGCAAGTGGAGAATAGAGATACGGGGAGGAGGAAGAAAGGGGGCAACGTGATATCTCTCGACGAGGTCCGCGATCGTTTTCGTCTAACGGTCCCGCCGACGATTATCGGGCGAGATCTTGACGACCGGATAGCATCGCGATAGCGGGGACAAACATCAAGGGATCCGTTCTCACGTTGCCGACAACACTTCTCCTTTCCTTTATCTCTTCCTCTCTCTCTCTTTCTCCCGTATACAATGCGTGCGACATGTGTGAAAGACGGTAGTCCGCGAGAAGAGAGACGACAAATTAGCTTTCATATATACGTTATACAGCAAATTGGCGCTAATAGTGACGAGCGAGAAAGAATGGGGTGGAAGAAGGGGTAGTCGCCGAAAATGGAATTACGCCCTAATGACGGGAAGCGGGTCGATTCGTTTATGAAATTGCGTAAGCTCTCTCGGAGTCACGCCGACTCGTATATAAATATACGCGTATGAGGGAAAACGAGAGACAAGTTGGCCCCCGTCTCTGTATTCTACGTGCATGCGCGATTAAATTCCCCTTCCCTCCTCTCCCCTTCCCAATGCGATGGCACCTTGGGATTTTAAATCGCCCGGATGCCGAGCTTTGTGTAATTATGCCGGTTACGTGTGTGTGCGGATTTAAAGACATTAGTTTAGCGAGCGCTCTCTGTGTTTTAATCCAATTTATCTGATCACAACATACACGAATTTATTTGCGCGTGCACACACACACACACACACACGCACGCACGCACGTTCGCTCAAATTATACCGGTTATATTCGCAAAATAAATACCTGAATGTGGAAATTCGCGTTAAAACAAATCGTAAAATACTGCTTTTTAAAATAAAAAAAATAAAAATAAAAAATAAAAAAAAAAACTATATAGAAAGGATTGAATGTTTTTGTTAACGCGGTGATAAATTTTTGCGCTTACGCAAATGCGAAACGGCAATGCTTGACCTCACTTCAGATTTTACCAATCTTGTTTTTTCTGCTGATTCGAACGTGGATCGCGAAGGGGCGTTTTTTCGATTGTCGCCGCCGCCGCCGAATCGATTGCGTGTGTGCGAGTGTGTAAAATCGCGAAACGAGGCCGCGCGACTAACGCGCCTGCGAATCAAGCGGAAACTGTTTTGAAACCGTCGTGTTTTATAAACGCGCGCGATATCGCTACACGCGAGCCACTAAATGTTGCGAATATAATGGTTAATAGGGGGGAGAGGAGAGAGGGGGGAGGGAAGGCTAATGGATGTAATACACTGGGTTTTGTTGCCATTTCGCGCAGTGTGTGTGCACACTTTCTTTGTTTAGCGCCCGCATCACTTTGGTTAACAAAAAGTGCATTTCGCAACTCGCCGAAACGAACCTTCGATCGTTACGCGTACGTGCGTTTTTATTCATCGAAGAATTTTCGATGGGGAAAAAAAAAATGGAAAAAATACTACAAATTGCTCCAATAAAACGTGTATTCAATCTGTAAATCAAAACTATCGGTTTATATAATCGTTTTAAAAACCCCGTTAAATAACTCGAGTAACAATCCGTCGAGGCGGATCGGCGTATATTTATCTGGTAAATAAAAATTTTACCTTTTCTGTATCTTCCCCACACAGTTAGATATCGTCGCGAAAGCAAATTGCACGACGCCGCGACGACACAGTCATTTTACCGTGAAATTTCAAATAAAGCGTCGCTCTAATGCGTCGCGGGGAGAATAACACAACCCGGCGCGGCGTGCGTTTGAAAGAGTTTGGTTCTAAAATACACGTCGTGCCGCTCACAATCGGCGGCGGGAAATCGTTATTGTTGTTACGATTCATTCAAGTCAAGTTTGAAAACGTAACTGCAAACTAAAAGGTAAACCCTGCGTGGCTATAGGATCTCGCGCGTTACCTGCCCTGGATCAACAACAGGTAGAATAGTGGAGGGTTAGGTGGCCCTTTTTTGCTCAATAGCATGGGCGAAGGATTACCACACCTACTATACCTAACTAAACGCTCACTGTCAACTGCGCGATAACGATCGATTCGCTCGCTGGCGTATTCGTGACGGTGGCGTGTCACGGAAAAATTTATTTCCCGAACCAATCTCGCGTCCTTAGAACTTTTACGACCGTTTCCGTCTTGTTCATCAGACGGGATCAACCATTCTCATCGAGCTATTTTCACGTATTAATTTGTCATTATTAGGATGATTTGTGTGAGATATAGAAGATGAATAGACATCGTTACATTGATACCTATAAATAGCGGAAAAAGTATCTCAAATTATTTTTTGCGTACACACACGCACGCAAAAAATAATTTAAATGCGAAATATAACCAAATTGACGTTCATATTTTTGCCAGATTCTACATCGAGTGTGTAAACGCAACACAAAAAAATACGGGTCGTAAAATACGAATAAAAAAACCGCAAAATGTCGAAAAAAAAAAAATGTAACAATCGAAGAAGGAAATCACCAAATCATACTGTTTGGCTGAGAATCTCGGGGAAAAAAAAGATACAAAAAAAAAGGAGATTTACAAACCTGTGAAAAAAAAAAGTTGAGAGAGATGGCCGGTAAACCCAAAAACCCACACTGTAAGCTGCCCCCACACGGAACCGTTTTTTTGACGTTTGACGGATTACGTAACGGAACAAGGAAGAAAATCCTGCTGGCGCGAGAGAGAAACAGACAGACAGACAGACAGACAGAAAAAGAGAAGGCGAAAGAGGAAACGATACGATCCGTCGTGACGAGTGTTTGCTCGCGTAAAATATTTGCGCGTAGAGTCGAGCTCAAACACGTCGGGCCTGTCATTTTCCGTGTGGTACACGCCGCGCGTATTTGTGAGCGTCGCGCTATGCCGAAGGCGCGTTCCTCGTCGCGTTTCGGCGCGTGCGAAAGCGCGCGCGTACAGCTTTTACGCTCGCGTCTGTGCACACACGCGCATTACTTATGCATACACACGCGTGTATATCGCGTGTCCCTGCGCCGACCTTCGCAGGGACCCTAAAACTTTCTTTGCATAACCGAAGGTATTAGACGCGTGTTTGTGTTCGGATATATTTTTACCGGAAAAATATGTTTTTACATTGCGAAACGCTCGGGATCTGCTTGTTATTCAATTATTCCACACTTTTAGAAGATTAAACAGATTGTAAGGTGCTATTCGTATTTTTTTTTTGTTTTACTAAGTTTTACATTTCTTACACGGACCTTATGCGGCCAATAGTTGCTGTCAACAATTGTTGTAAGTGTCAATATTGGTCAATAATATTAATTGATAATATCGATATCAGTTGATAATATTGCTCAAAGATTGTTGCAACCGGACAGAGTCGTAAACAAGTCGAAAGTTCGTGTTACAAACTTTCAATTTGTTTACGACTCTGTCCAGTACGATTAAAAATTCTCTTCAATATTAACAAACGGTTCATACTGACGATATTATTGACTGTCGATTTTTTTAAAATCGACGATGTTATATATAAATGTATCCGCAACAAGAAAATCAGAAAGCTGATTTAAATGAAATTGAGTCGTGAATTATTAAACGGGTGACGATTTCGCACGAAATTGTGGAGCAATTGATAACCGAATACGACGTATTGCAAGAAGAAATCAGATCGGATTAGATCAACTTTCGGTGCAGATTAAAGTACCTCGTAAAGAATTACGATAAGATCCGTGAGAAGAGGAGGTTCGTCGAACGCGCAATTTTACTCGTGCTCGCCTTAAACAAAGTGTTTTCCAGCGATTTTCACGGATTTTGTTTTTCATTTCAAGTCAAAAACTAAGGCGCGCGAGAAAAGACGCTGGTACTGGAATCTGCAAAGCGGCCGAACGAATGAGAGAGGCAAATTTAATGCCTTTCACCGTGATACCGATCGTTAATACCTCGCCGTTACACGAGTCGCCGTGTGGAGCATTCGCGAGAGTTGTCTTCCCCGCGTGCATCCACATTCTCGCATAACGGATCGCGCACACGAAATGCACTTCCTTGAAATTCTGATCTCTTCATTCCAAAATCGTCTCATCGTTTAAAATCGCAGGTTACAATCTTTATCGCGATTTTTTTAAAGAGCAGTGTATTATCGCGTACAAAGTAACTTAATTTATTTCAAATCGCGAGACAAAAAACCGACTTGGAAAAATTCACCCGTCGGAGATTCGCTCTTTCTCTCGACGGTTAAATCTCTTTCGGCATGAATGAGACACGGAAATAGAACATTGACACTCACCTATAGGCTGCACTCGCTCCGGGATCGACGTTCCGCTCCGAAACTGCCGCTCCGTAATCGCGCTGCACTCTCGATAAAAGCTCCCGATGCACTTGCACACACACGATACTTCTCCGCGCACGGTTGCCTCGAGGAGAAAGAAAGGGGCACGACGACGAACTGCGCGAATGTCGACGACGGTTTCGCGAAAAAAGGGGGACGATGACGGCCGGGTGTCACGGACAACGTGTGTCGTTTTTTCCTCAGAAGGGATGCGAGCGATGCCGACGCGATTCCGCCGAACAGTCCGTCACGGTCGATAGAGGTGCACGGACGAAAGCAAGCGCCATTTTATCCCGTGTACTCGCGGCAACGCGAAAGGTGGACGGTGCACCGCGCGCGCGACGCGACGGGGAGAGAGAGAGAGTGTACGCGGCTCCTCTCTCGCGTGCGCTGTCTCTCTTCGTCTATCCCTTGTTCGTTCGTTCGTTCTCTTTCACCACCGACGCGAATCGCTTCGCGAGCGCGAATACGCGGAGAAGAGAATCTCGGGGACAATTCTTCGGGGATACGGGGATACGAGCGAATAAATTTCGCGACGTTTTACGCGCACTGGATCATCACCACTTTCACACTCCGCAGAGGCTTCTCCACTGTACTGTACTGTGTCGCCGGCGCTGCGTGTACACGAGACAACTTCAGAGCGCTCGCGAAATCGGGGTAAAAATAAAAAAAAAAAACAAACTATCTCGTGTGTGATACTGTTCCGACGGTTGTTCGTCCGATCGAACTCCGTACTATGTCACTCGACACAGTCCGTTCCGTTGTCTCCCCGTCTGGTTCTTCTCTTTCTCCGTGTTGTGCTTGTTGTTTTTTTTTTTTCTTTCTGCTCTCAGTTTGTATTTTGCGAGACGCGCATACGATGGGTTCACGCGCCCGACAACCGTCATGTACAGCGATAGGCGACGAACTGAAGCGCTGAACGACGATGACGAGCGGTGGAGGTTGCCCGGCTGGTTTCCACCGCGTACCGCTATTCGGCCGTGTTACACTAGCGCCATCATCCGGGCTGCACCCTCGCTCGTGTGTGCGCGCCAGCCATTTTCTCTTCTCCTCTCTTCGCGTTCTTGCGCTTTCTCCCCTTCTTCTACGCCCGTTCGGTGCGTGCCCCTGAGGCCGTTGTTTCGCGCGTGCGAAGCCGCGTAGCGTCGCGACGCCGATCGTCCCGACACGAATCGGCGGCGTCCGAGCCGAGCCGAGGATCCTCGGCGTTACATCCGATCGCAGGTATGTATATATAATTTTTCGCGGCGTGAGATCGCGACGGCGAGAGAGAGAGGTCATTGATTTTTTGAGCCCGTCAAGTGTAACCCGCGCACATGCGCGCTAAATACCGACGGCGTGACATCGCCGCGATCGGTTCTCTCATCCGGAATGTCCCAGGCCGCGTGAATTTATCCGCGTCTCCAACTCTCGCCGCCCGCCGGCGCTCGACCGCGCACTCGAACTTGTCGCTCGAAGTTCGCGCGACTGCCCGGCGAATATCGAGAAACAAAATGATCGAGAGTAAAGGGTCGAGACCCTCTCGAGAATGCGACTTTGGCGATTGAATTTAATTGACTGATGATTCACACACGCACGTACTTTTCTTATCTATACGTAACGACTCAATATGTCATTTTATCAGTTGCTACGCATTGCAGACGCGCGCGTTATTTAATTTTAATTGCAAATCGTTCGTTTGGAATAGAAAAAAAAAACAAAAAAAAACTATCGCGTGAAATTTCACTTACATGTAAATGTGGCACTTCGCGAAACGTGGCAAGAAACATTCGCGCAATGAGACAGACATTGTGACGCGAAAATGTGCCATTATGAAGCAGATTTTGAACGACTCCGCAGTCCGTAAAATTCAACGGCGGAAATTGCGCGCTTTGCATTCAAATCGAGTCTCGGCAGGAAAAACGCAATCTCTGCTTTTTCGAAACAGAGGGAAGGGAAAAAATCGCGGATAGGAATAAAACGCGATGTTATCGCGCGCACCGGTTTATCCGAGCGGATCTTGTTGACGGTATTATCGCTTCGATTGTGGATTTTGGCTAACTTCATCGAAAGCGGCGCGCGCAAAAATCGCGCGGCTTGTCTTATCGGTCTTTTTTTTTTTTTTTTTTTTCAACAGGTGGATTGGAACGCGTGCAAAAGGATTCCGCTTAACTTGGCGCGTATAATGGGAAGACACAAAATTCCAATCGTTTGCGAGAATCCTCTTCCACCGCCCGGTCTCTCTTCTCGGCCGCAACTGAATTACAATTTCCGATAACAGAAAGATTAGCGATCTCCGTCGATCCGTTCCGATGTAGTATATTCGTCGGGCGCGCCGGAAGCATTAAATTAGTTGCCATAATTGCGGCAGATACGGCAGGGAAAATTGTAATCGTCACGGGATGATATATACGAGTTATGGTTATTAGGGGCTCGTAAACGGCGGATAGCTCGAGCGATCGATATAAGTGTCGAAAGGACGCGCGCGCGATGGCACATAGTCGCGGGATGATCGCGGCGAATGTGTCAGCTGAATTTGGATTATGATGGCGTTTAAGGAAAGTATACGTAATTTGAGTTCAAGAAACAGCGACAGCGGCAATGTAATAGCGGCGTAATTACGCATGATGATAGCTGCGCTTCTCCTTCGTCCCCTCCATTTATTTAACGACACATCCTGCCACATCGCCGCTGCTAAATTAATCAATGTTACATTCCGCGTGAGTATTTAAAAAATTTCAGTGTAATCTTAGAGAGACAATTTTTTTCTGTTTTTTTTTTTTCAAATTGATACGTACACGCGATCACGTGTGGAATAGTTTTTAAAATTGAAATCGGAACGTTCTTTTTATTTTCTCCCTTCGGTGAGTAAAATTGGTGTAATCAAGGTAATCTGATATCTCTGAATACCAAGAACGACCGAAATTGATCTCGTCGTCTATTAGTGTCAATGAAAGTGCGATTAGCGTCGGATACGTTTTTCCGTGACTTTAACTTCGAAAATTGAACCCATTAAAATTATACCGGTTTCGACTACGTATCGTGAGCTTGTTTTTTTTTGTAGAAAAGAAAGAGGAGGAGGAGAAGGAGGAGGATGTGATTGTTCGTGATCGATCGAGATTCGTCCCTCTGTCTTATGTGTGGTTGCGGCCGAAGAGACGATGCGACGTGGTGGCAAGTAGACGGACGGCTATTTCCGCATGACATCACATCGCCCGCATTTGGAGAGAGGGCACCACGATTTTCTATTTTCTCAACGGCTCGACATTGGTGGCCTGAGCATGCAAGGTCGGTCTCATCGAGAAACGTCCCGATCAGTTTTTATTGCCCTCTCTCTCCTCTCACGACTTCCTCTCCGCAGCACGCATCGTTCAGAGCGAGGTTCTCTCTTTCTCTTTCTCTCTCCCTTCTCTTCCTTCTCTTTCTCGGAAGTCTATAATCATTTACTGCAGTTGGAGAATCCCTAACTTTGTTAGCGAGATATGAGATTGCGGGTTTTCGGTTACCTACGTCACGACATCCATATAATAATCCGAGATTGTAATATTTGCGCCGCAAAAGCTATCGAAATTACAAATCATTTCTTCATCGCTCCCAATCTACGGCGCGTCTCGCGTGTTTTATATAATTTTCAGATAAAAACAACATCCACGTTGTAAAAACTGTACTCATTAAAACGAATTGCGCTATTTCTCTGCCGCGTTTTCTCGACTTGCCAATGAAAAAGAAGACGTTGTACTAATTTTTCGAAATTGCTCGCGACGCTTCCGCAATTAGGAGGCAGGTATGTACACCGTAAAAGACAGAGAAACGTGAGACACGACGCTCGTCCCGTTAACATATCGCCGATCTTAATCTCACGCATTCTTTTCCTCCGCCTGACCACCGGATACGCTTCTCCTAATCGAGAAATAATTGTATGAATTTGTCGGAGCGAACCGGGTCGTCGCCGCGTCATCGTCGTCCCGCCGGATAAGAAATTCGTGCGCGCGCTCACTCTCTTTCTCTCTCCTCGTCGTCGTGTTGCTTTTCTTTGAGTTTTTTTCTGCGTATCTTGGTCAGAACAATGGAATCGATGTCGAGACAAAGGAGCTGCTCTATACTACTCTCTTCTCGTCCGGTTTCCCCCGGTTTCACGCGCGATACCGTTCGACCGGCGCTAACTCGGTTAGCTATTCGTTAGCGAAATTAGAAAAGATCTCCAGAAATGACGCGCTTCCAACGTCGCTTGATTCGCTGCCGACGGAGCGCGCGCTCAAGAGACGCAATTAGCTGCGGAGGAAACTTGTGAATAAATATATATATATATATATATGTATATACAATATTGTATAAATAGAAACTGTGCTCTCTTGTGCGTGTGAACTCTGTCTCTTGGAGATGTAACGCGAACCATCTGCTCTTCCACGGAATAATTCTATCTCATGTGCTTTAGTGCGTTGATAAGATTAACGATTAATCACACGCGCGCACGTTGTATGTGGAAAAGTGAACGTAAACGCAGAATTTATGAATTTAAGACCGCGAGTTCTAGAATATCCTGTACGAGAGAGGCGCAGGATGCGATGCTCTAATGTTAAGCCGACGTTATATCACGGTGGACTCCGATGGGAAAATGCCGAGAGTGGTGTGTAATTTATATAAGGACAGGTCGTCTCGAGAGGTGAATTAAGCCGCGCGCGGCTTGCTCTTTTATTAATTTCCATCATTTACACCCGAGAGAAGCGAACGTTTTATTCAGTGGCACATGGATTGCCCAACTCATATCGTCTGTATCCGGGTCGCGCGTCCATCCGAGACGATCTATCGATCGACATGTAATTCTCCTCTCTCTCTCTTCTCTTGATAGATGCAGCGCGCGCGTTCCGCGCGCGGAAGAGGATTTCTGCGCGAGCGATTCCGTAACGACCGATTACGCCCCGTTCGGGAGCATCCGTCGGTATCCTTACGATGTTTTAATCCCATTCATCGCGTTCGCGTTACGACACCGGGTATATCTTATTATATGCAAAGAGGAACATCGCCGAATTGTGTGCGCGCAAAAATCTTAGAAAAACTAAATTTAAAAAAACAAAAAGAAAAACCTGAACGTAAGGGGTAATTTTTAAGTTCTCGAAATAAAGCACGCGCAGAACATGAAACGCATATTAAGCTGACTGATTTACATAATTCTACGTATAAAAACGGATCCCCTTTGCGCTTTATTTCTTTTATTCCCCCTTTCCTTAGTTACCCAGCACGTTTTTATCCTTTCTTAAAAAGGGCGCAGATGTTATTTTTCTCCGAAAGAGTTGTTATGTATATTTTCCTGTTTTTTTATTTTTTTTGCAAAGTTATTGTCTTCTCGATTATAAATGTTTTCTATTTCCGCGCTCAAGTTCTATAATCGCGCAATCGTTGAACGTGCGGCGTTTCTCTTTTTTTCGCTCTTGTTCTCTGGTCATTCATGCGTTCCTAATAGCGTTCGTAGCATTGCGTAGCGGTTGGGATTTTCTTCACGAGTTACGACCGATAGGTTGAGTTTTGCACGTTTTGATCCGGAGAAAGAGAGAGAGAGAGAGAGAGAGAGAAGGGGGGAGACGAAGAGTTCGAGAGGACAACGGCGCGGTGAGCCTTGAACGAGAGGGGTCCACGAAGGAGGAGATCGGTCGGTTGGTCGGGCGATCGATTGATTTTTTCGTCACGGCGTCTGGTTGCACCGCTACTACACGTTGCAGGTGGAAGCGGAGGACTCTTGCTCTGACCCGCGGCTTCTCAGAAACTTCTCTCCAGTCATCGAGACGAATTCCACCCGAAAATTCAGGCCGCGCGCGCGCAAACGAACGATTAATGGCTCTATAAGTTTTCTCAAAAATCTCTGCCACGTCACACAAATTAATTTGTTTTTTTTACCACGCCTCATCTCGGCCTCACCTTCGAAATCGAAGCGTGTCATCGTGTTTTATCATTGAACAAAGGAGATTCGTCCGCCAGTCCAGCATCTCGCTCCCTTTCCGAAATTCCGTTTGCGCGACAAAGTACAAAAGTGACTCGATTTCATGGTCTTTTCTCGGACTGTAAAACAGTAAAACCCACCCGAGGTGGAAACGACCCTCCCGTTCCCGACGGCTATCGTTCCTGGGAGACGAAAAGATGGAAAAGGGTCATCCGCCGGAGGAGGACGTGAAGTCGAATAAAACGAGACGAACAACGACACGTTACACGTGAAACTGGGGGGGTCATAAAAATCCGAAGCGCAGGTATAAACCAACGATCTACAAGTCCGCGCGCGAGAGCGATCCTAATCTCGCGCGCGGCCGAGGTGGCTCACATTCGGAAAGCCAAAAGGATAAGCGTCGAGAACGGGAGGGGAAATAGCGGCCGGTCGAGACCCGCTAAATTGCCGAGACTCGTTAGAGGATTGCCGGTATGCGACGCGTCGCGCACTCGTGAGGGAACATTAGAGCTCGGAGGAATTTCGAGTACATCTTCAGTCGCGACGTTAAGATTTTTCTCCGGCCTTCTTTGTTGCGTGCGTGTGTGTTTTTTTTTTTTTCATCCTTTTCTTGCAGCTTATGTTCGCTCGTCCTTAAGAAATTACGCGATCTTTCGTCTCGATGCTATCGCGCCGCGATGATCGAAGATTCGATCCGAACTCGCGCCAGGCGACGTTCATCCGCCGTTCCCTTCGCCGCGGTTTGAAGGCCGTGCGTTTCCTCCTGCCATTTTTGGACGACGCCTATCATAAACGCCACCGCTGCCTCCAGGTACTTCATTGTTGATTCATGCTTTACACCGACAGTTTTATTTCCGCCGCCGTTTCACGTCTGATATATTCGTCGCAGACGAGTGACGGTAAAAAGAGGCGGGAAACGTTGATCTGTTATACGTGTCTTACGAGGTAATTAATAGAGGAGGGGTTCGGCTCGTTCGTTCGTTCGCTCGCTCGCTCATAAAACGGACGATGGAAGGTCGCAGCGGGGAGGAACGCATAAATTTTAATGTAGTCGTGTGTATACGCGAGAATTTCGCGAGTCCCGCGATATTTGTCGCGCGGTTAATAGTCCTCGTAATCGAATGAAGAATGCGATGGACGGAGATTAGTTTCGCGACGTTAACCGACGCTCCCGAGACGCGTTTTAATGAGCCCCCGTCGTCTAGATCATCGCGCGCTCGGTTTACTACAAATTTAATCGAGAGTTAATCGACATTTAATTTAAATATCTCACCCCCCGCGAGTAACTAACATACTTACGTTTTCCATCAGTCGCGCAGACGCTCGATCTATCTTCGCGTTAATCCGCAATATTCGACACTCGTCGTCGTCTCCGAGTTTCTAATGAAATCCCACGGCGAGGATTCCCTCGAAGACAAAAAACAACTACGACCTTGAAAGTGTCTCTCGCAATAGAAACAATTGTTTATCGCGCGATGCAACGCTTGATCGTTTCGATACTTCCAATAAGACGAAAGCGAGGTGTTTTGAGAAACAACAATGGATAGACAGTGAAGAGAATCGGAACATTTTTGTAACATTGCATTATAGAACGTTTGTATACGCATATATTATCGATGTAACTTTATTTTTTCTTAGATTCAGATTTATTTAGCGTTACCGCTGTGTTGGGTAACTTGGGATTAGTGTGGGTTCTGTGCTTCTTGCTTTCGATGTGCTGTGCGAACGTGATTTCCGACGTCACCGAAAGATTGCACGGCGCGCAGTAGTACTGCCCTGAAAAACAAAAACGCGTCACCCGTTATAATGTCCGCACCGATCGCTAAAATTAATTTTTCTATAATTGTTTTTTTTTTTTTTATGTAATCGTCACTCACCAGACGGCGTCCGATAAATAGAATAATCTATTTGTCTCGACAATTCGGCCTTTGCTGAAACAAAACACGAAGAATCAGCACGTCAACACGACATGCTTATGTTGCTCGCGATTAGTACCTTCGGGCACAGGCAGTCCGTTAAGTCTGAGCATCCTCATGTGTCGGGCTCCACGTTTGTGCGTCTCCAGCTGATCTTGACGAGTCGCGGAGACGCCGCACAAGTCGCAGCGAAACGGCGTTGGATACGGTGGTGCTATATACATGGGATTCGGTACCGAAACCGCGCCGTTTGATGCCACTGGTGCCGCTGCGGTCGGTGTGGATTGCGCGTCCGTATGGAATGCCATTCCAATCCCGAAGCGACCCGTTGGATCCGCTTGATTGTACTGATTCAGCGTCTTTTTCGACGGCCTGCGCAACGCGACGGTTTTGTTAACACGATCAGAAATTCAACTGAAAAACTCAACTGCCTGTCATTAATTTATTAAAGTTATTTAAATCGTTATATTATATTGTTGAATTACATTGACGCTGCTTGTTTTTGCGTTAATTACTTATACACGGAACATACGATCCTACCTGCTAATACGGGGCCCGCCGTTCGCCGCCCTAATGTGCTTCTTACCCGCGTAGTGTTGCGTGGCGTCTGTTTGCGACGTAAACCACGTTTTGCATATCTGGTAATACGGATTGTACGCGAGGTGCATTAATAAGCAGGTTCATGTACGTGAATATATAACACATACATAAAAAGTAGGCGAAACACATATTGTGGGCTTCTTACATCACAGTAGAGTTGCCAGTCGTTATTGGTCGTGCCGCTCACACCGTCTTCCGACTTTAGTTTCTTAACGCTCTGATTGAGAAACATCGACACTTTTTTCTGATGAGGCTTACCCTCATAGTGCAATTTCGCTTGCAGAGGAGAATTCATCTGTAAAGTACGAGATACGCGCTACGTCGATTAATTACTTACAAGTCTTTGTTCTTATGTGGGGGAAGAAATTCTACTATATCGCGGATTTAATCTCGGAATTTTAACTAGAGTTTCAGAACGAAGAAAAGCTTGTAATTATTCGATTATAATCTTACGACTGCATTGCACAGATCACACTTGAGCGGTTTCATCAGAGCTGACAGTTGCCTCTGCGCATTAGCCACTTTCTCTGTGAAATAAATCACAGGGGAAAATCAATGCTTCTTTAAATAAATAAATAAATAAATATATGTATTATATACATAAAAAACACAACACATACACTCTTGCTCGAATTTAGGAAACTTTTATTTCACATCCGTCTTGTTTAAACATCGTATTCAAAACGATCTTTAATTACCTGCATCCTGCGTAGGATCGATAAACTCATTCTTGCGTTTATAGCCACTCTTGCTCTTGTTCTTTGTTACAGACGTCACCGCAGAGGGTGCAATAGGCATCGCTATCACACCTTTGTAAGTCGAATCGTACCACTGATTATAAAAGTCCGTGGTATCGTTGTCAGTGGGAATCCACCAAGGAGTCGGCGTTTGTCCGGGAGTCTGTGGTTGTATTGGATGCATCATGTATGGGCTTCGTGGCATGGGAGATATATTGGGGAATGCAAGTGCTGGAGAGGGAACTTCGTCGTTCGCTACCGGTGTCATTTCGGCAGTTAAGTTTTCGCTCGTTGTCGCCGGATGATGCTGCGTCGTTGTCAACTGTGCATTGTTGTCCGAGAGTTTGTTCGAAGAAAAAGAAGTTGGCGGTGGTGAAGGCGGGGGTGGTGGTGGCGGCGGCGGTGGCGGTGGCGGTGGTGGTGGCAGATAACATTCAAGTCCTGTTGCGAAAAGATTTTAACATAAAGTGACAGTTTTTGGTCGTGGGATCTGAATTCAAACAAAAAAAAAAAAAAAGAAAGATGTAAAAAGAAATGGGACCCCTTTGATCGGTAGCATCGTATATTTTTCACACTTAAAAAAATACATAGGATTTTCGTGTAAAAAAAGTAAGTCGGAAACTATAAATCACCGAATGCCCCGCTGTTTTACTGCTGGTAATTTGTGACAATGCTTTTACGAAAAAAATTCTCAGGTTTGCGAGGTTGTGGTACGTCAATAAATCGCAAACTTTACCGATTTTTACTAATGTATCTCAATTTTCTTTTGTTAGGCTCGCGCAATTGTTGGTCTAACGGTAAAAGTGTTTATTTCACGAAAAAAAGGTAGAGTCGTTTCAATTCTATTATGTTGGACAGCAAGATTATTAGTACACATAAGTAGTACACACAAGGGTTGCAACGGTGTGTTATTGTTCTGTCAATTGGTCTATTAGTAGCAGTAGAATTTTTTCGCAGCGTCGGCTTACGTGATTTACGATAACAATCTTAATAATCACGGACGGTCTTTCGAAACGTACGGTCGGGGAAAAAAAAATATGTTTACCTATAAACGAGAAGTGACACGCGGCGTTGTTGTTGAGACGCCTGTACCACGCGCTTATAAATTTACAGAGGAAATGCATTTAATTGCTTCTCTCCCTTTCACACATACACACGCGCGCGCGCGCTAATTCGCGCGCGGGTCGCGATTATATATCGCACGTTTCAAAAACGATTCGCGCCCGACGATAAAAACATCTCGCGGCACACATTTAGCTTATCGCACGTCTACGCGCCAGTGCTGGCGTAATTTATCTCAGCACCCGTTAGCTACTTTTGTATTTTCGCAAACATTTTACATTTCGCAAACATCGATATATACATACAATCGTGCGAACCAGATATAAACTTCAATTCGAAGTCGATGCGCATACAAAATTGCAAGGTCAAAAATAAATACATCAAAGTGTTTCTCGTGTAATAATTCATTATTTACATACCTTTGCAATTATTTACATTATCTTTTTAATTGTTTTTACCTGAATGAGGTGTGTGTTTATTTGAAGAAAAGTCTTGGACAATAAAAATACGTCTCGAAATATCGATTTATTCTCGCGTGCGATATCCCGAACCAATATTGATACGGTAGAGTGGCTACATATCAACAAAAGCCTTGATCAAAACAGAAAATTGAACCGAATCAGAGGTTAGAGATGTCGCAAATATGTATACAACGTTATGCAATTGCACGCACGACGGATGATGCGGATGGTGATGTTCACCCTTCGAATTATCATATTCGCAATTTACTCGCCAATTTGTGCTTATATATGTATATTAATTGTCTCTGCTCATCGCGGATCATAGCGGAAGTTAGTCCACAGAGCGTTCCAAGAAAAATAATGTGCATATTAAAATACGCGGCAAAGATCAGAAACCGGTATGCACTTCGAAAAACAATGTCACGACTCTCGTCGCGCATCGTCACGATTGAAAAAAATAATTGTTTTCGAAAATGTTTTTATTTACTAACCCGTGCCATGTGTCACAAGTACATACACTAGAACATAAGGAGTTGAAGGGGAAAAGATGACTCCGGAGGTGACGGACGACTCACCCGGCACTTCTGGATTCTGTATGAGTTTGGCGCTGGACATTTTTCTTGGCTGTGGTTGGGAAAAACTTTTTAGAAAACTTAAAGAGCGATATTTATCCCCGGGCGTAGCTTGTCAAGCTTGCGCCGCGGCTCACGACGGCACCGTGATTCCGCACTTGTGTGGACACCGCGGATCCGTCGTCGCCGTCGTCGTTGTGGTCTCGCACTCGACACCGCAATGACACACCGTGACTCGCACGTCGGCATCGACTGTCGCTTGTCGAAGTAATAGAGTCGAAAATGTTTGTAGAGAGAGAGAGAAAAGGAGGTTAATTGAGGTGAATTTGACACAAGCCACGAGCCGACGACATTACGCGGTTTGGTTGCTGCGTGATGTTGGTCCGCGGCGCAAGATGGCCGCACGAATCACGCTCGTCGCTCGCTCGGACGCGATACGAAGCGCGGAATTATCGCGTGCGGCGGTAGAGAAGATTCGATTTTTTACGCACGGCCGGTCGTCGATGGCGAACACGCGTCCACGATGGAGGACAGGAAAGAACTGCTCCGAGCCCTCGGCGAGAAAATCGCCAGCGGTCACAGCATGGTCGAGCGGCTGAGGCTCATGAGCAAGATCGACGGGATCGACAAGCTGATACGAAAGATCCAGCAGGAGATCAAGTTTTTGGAGAAGGTACGCGACACGTGTTTCGCAAGTTAGATAATTTGTGTTAGGATTGAGTAACATTGTTTGTAACTACCTACCTCAATTATGTCTGGTTTCGCTCAATTTCTTTCATACGATGTTAAAACAGATTCGTTGTGATTTAGACATAAACAAAACAATGTCAAACATCCATGTGATGTAAATATTAACACTGGCATGTCAACTGTTATTTTTTTTTCTATAAAGGTACAATGTACAGGGAATGTGAAAAAGGAACATTTACAGAGCACAAATCTGATTCACCTCAATGCTATAGTAGCTCGGCTGTCCTGTGCAAAGAATCCCATCAGTGTGATAAAGCCTTTCAAATATCAGAAGTCACGTCTGGAGGTTGACATTGTCTGTAACAATGGTGCCTCATGGGTGAAGGTTATAGCCAGAAATGCGAGAGCATTAACTCTAATATCTCTTGGTAATGGAGAATATGGACAGAAATCTGTGCTTGATCAAGCCAATTCTTACTTGATGTGCAGCAAGTGTCATCTGCATCACTATAGACCGCCAGATGTTATATTTCACTTTGCTTATGGCATAGAGATTCCTCTGGCTTTACATTTGGAGCAGATGGGCATTATAGTTGAAGGTGATAGAATAGACACGGACAATGAAAATTGGAGCAATCAGTACGACATATCTGGTAAATATTTAAATGAAATCATGTTGCTTTTGTGTCAAAATAATTTGTCTCATGATACATTTGTTGTTGTACATTTTGTTTTTTGGAGGCAGAACACGATGAGATCGATGTTCTTAAGGAATCATCAAAGGATTTGGATCTGCAAACATTGAACACATCTGCGCTGTCGACTGAGATCAAGCTTCTTAATCTGGATGTATCAACACTACTGGCTTATGTTACCAATATGGCTAATGGATATATTAATTATATCTATCGCGAGCCTTTACTCACTCAACAAGCCGAGATGGAAAAGAAACGTCCTATAAAGCCGATTCTGGACGATGTGTTTCGGGACAAGGAGCTTATAGTGTGCCGGACAGCTTATGACAATTTTATGAGTATCATCGATGTTATCGGTGGTCCGAAAGAGACGCTACGCGCTCACGAATTTCTAAAGAGAGTTCGGATTGTCGATGACCTAGATACCGGACGAGTTATGGAACTACGTTTGGGCGGTAAAATTAAAGATCGGTCGCGATTAGTTTTTGCCACGGGCGAGAATATGAAGAGCATCACAGTTTCCGCTAATGAAGGATTTGTGAGAGCGGCACGTATGCAGGTAAGTACATTTATTACATGCAAAACTAGTTATGTTCTTTCAGTTTGACATGTTAACATATTTTTTCAGGGTGTAGAGTGCACAGTTTTCTTGCACGAACCAAGATCTCTGTCGGAAATGAAAGAACGCAATGCCACGAGTATGGAACTATCCTGATATTATTTTAACTACTTATTTAGGCTATTACATACGAGCAAATCATGTACTGACACAAAAAATGACAGAAAGAGGAATATTGTTAAATTATCACGTTGCTTACTCCACTTCATCGTGACCGATTATTTGTATGTTGGTTTTGTTGAATTCGGTCTCTATACTTTCTTCAAATTCTGTAAAATATAAAAAAAAAAAAATTGTTATTACATTATAATCTCTACAGAGAAGTTCACTTAATCAGATAAACTGTTCGAGTATAAATGTGTTCAAAATATATATTCAACAATACCGTTAATAAATTTGTTGAAATGAGGATTCTTGTCTCTAGCCATTTGTATGTATTCTCTGCTCTTTTCCTTGTTTCTAAGATGCATGTAACACTTGGCGCTATTTAAAAGAGCTTTCAAATTACAGTCGTTTACTTTCAACGCCCATGTAAAGTCATGCAAAGCTTTCTCGAATAATCCGAGATGCATGTGTGACAACGCGCGGTTGTTCCACAAAACAGTGGAGTCTTTACGTTGCTCTAACGCTTTACTGAAATACGTTACCGCTTTTTCGTAATCGCCCTCTTTGAACGCACCGTTCGCGATTCTTTTCAATGTTTCCGCTCGTTCGTTTCGGACCTTGCGATCTTCCGCTCGCTTTTTAGCATCATCTTCCACACTTTTCATGAACATATCTGTTACAACATTGAATTTTATATTGTACAAAATTATCGTATAAATGTGTGTAACAAATGAAAACAATCTACCTCGTGACATTTTATCTGAATCACTGGAAGAAACATTTTCTGAAGGATATTTATTAATTAATGACCGATTAGTTTTAATTTTTACGTCATCTTCGCAAATGTCTCTTTGAATATTTCTTTCTAAGATTTCGTCGGCCAATCTCTTTCCACATTCTTGTTCCTTCGGATCGGAAGACGCTAATTTCTTCACAATTTTTTCTTGAAAAATAAAAACATTGTTGAAAAATATAAAATTTTCACGGTACATGAGATAAGCTCGTGAAATACGAACCTACTTCTGTAACGCGGTGCACAAAATTTTGGAACTCTTCCTCTGTCACGTTTTTGTCAGAGTGCAGTTTGTTAATGATATGATTTGTTTCTTCCATTTTATCACAACTTATTTTCTTATTTGTATATGTTTCTGTATTTTTTATGTAGAAATATAATCATGAAAAAGCTATACGTTACATCAATAGACTTGTACGTTGTACGTCTCCATAGAAACGTGATAATCTACGTACGCTTCTATGTATATTTTATATCATCAATATTTTAACACGTAGGAATCAATTTCAACGGTTACATGAAAAATTAACGTATATTTGACCAAATAAGTTTAGTTATATAGATATAAAAGTGTGTATAACAATTTTTCTCCTGCGATCATGTATACTTTCATTATGAAAATGGAATCAACTCGACTTGTTTAAACTCAGAAAACAGCGATTACAGCGGTGTTTATAATTAAATATTTAAAATCTTGTTCTCTCACACAAAAACAAAAAACTTACAAGCAGTGACACAGAAAATGCCTTTACAGAAAAAGTTGCATAACAAATGTTTCAACAATAAAAAATACAACTTCATGAGTAAAGATATATTCTGTCATATTACCATATATCTTGAGCTTGCGCAGCACACAATGTTCTTCTTCATAAAGCTAGAATTTCTCTTAAAAACAAAAACAAATGTGCAAAGATCAAAATAATAATTTCATTCAATAATTTAAACAACTGTTTACCAATTAAAATTTGGAAATTAAATTGATCTTTCAAATTTGATAAATTAAAGTTTATCAATTCTGATGCTTTTAAGCAATCTAGCATGAAGAAAAGCATGTGTGTGATAAATTTATTTTACAAAAAAATTATAAAAACCGTTTATAGAAGCACTTTTCTATCATTGTTTATACTTTGATAAACTTAGAATATGATATAAATATTGAAGTGTTAAGTTGATATATTAATGTAGGAAAACATATGATTTATATATTATATAGGAGAATGAGATTTACAGTTATATGTTCAGTTCATAAAAATCTACAGTTATCACATTAAATATTTCAAGTTTTTGTTTCAGGAGTAAGGCTAATATTACATTTGTCGTACGACAAAGATTTTAAGTATGTTGATTGGCTATCAGATAAAGTTTTATAAAATCTTTGTCGTACAAAAAGTGTAATACTAGCCTAAAGCCTGTGCGCACACTTATCGACGGACGTAGTTAAGGACAGAACTGTTTTTTGGATTACTTTCTGCTGTTACATTTTCAATATCTTCGTCAACCTCGAGTGGATCCATGTCGATGTCTTCCTCTTCCGAAGATATGTTGATTTCGTCCTTGATAAGAACTATGTTTGGATTGTGATCTTCACTGAGGTTCTTCTTGATTTTCCTTCTGTCTAACAGCGCGTTTTGTTTATTTTCCGGCATATCGGTGGGTAATTTTCCTGGTGTGATCTCTATCTCGTCCATGATGCAACGTAATTTCTTAAAAGATACCGATTTGTCGTTAGACATTGTGGATAATACATGTTGCCAACTGATCGCGGGATCCGAGGATTCCTTTCTCTTCAAAGATATGTTTGGCAGTCCTTTACTTGTACTTGGTATGTCGTTAATGTCTAAGATGATACCGGAATTGCTGGTCTCCAGACGCTGAGAGAGCTCGTTTATGTTAATATCTTCTTTCTTCTTCGTCGTGTCCTGAGAAGAAACTTTAGGTGACGTTTTGTACGGTCCGGTTCTTAAAATCCTCGTGGGATACTTTGTTGGTGAGGTAGGTTTAGTTGGTGCTTTTGTGCTTACTTCGTGTTCCGGGACAGTGTTTCTGCTGGAGGAAGAACTTCTGGTTTCTTCGAGCTTTAATCGCGACACCGTGGCGGTCTTTTTCGGCGTGACATCCATCTGTTCCTTTGACATGACATCGTTGAATCCTTCGGTGTTCATCACATTGGTTGGAACGTGGCGCAGTCCGGTGACCTCAAGAATCTCGGCCAGTTTGAGCAACCTCTTAACCTCACTTTGCACAACCTGTATTTCACCGCAGTACATGAAATTCACGAGTGTCTTGAGATCGTCGGCCTCGATGTCGTGCAAAATGATCATCGGATGCGGATGATCGTTGGCCACGAGCAAACGACGGAAGAACGAACTCGAATTGGCCAGTACCATTTTGTGACACTTGATGATCGTGTTGTCCTTGCAGACCAGCGAGAGATCGACGAACTGCTGTTTCTCGTAACAGTTGTCGAGCGAGCCCACCATGTGCGACGGGAAGCTTTGCCACTTGAAACTCAACAGAGAATCTTCCTTCATCGTGTCGGTTTTCAGTCAGACTTTACGGATTATTTACGCGCTACGCGATGCAAGACGCTCGAATTGTGTTGGCGTTTCTCACAACAACGCTCGCCATGACACGTGCTGCCGTGTTGTCGTTCGCAAGCGTTCAAAGTATTCGCTCGAAACAACATATCTATTTATAACTCTCACGTTCGATCTCGTCGAGATTCTTTCTCTCTTTCTTTTTCTCTCTCTCTTTCTTTTCGTTTCTTTTTTTTTTCACGTGTTATTGTTTTTAAAATTCAATATCGCAAGATAATATACGAAATTTAAAGTGTCGTTTTTTCTTCATCCCTGTTTTTTTTTCACGTTTTGTGAATAAAACACGTGCCGTGTTGAAAGTTCGTTCGAAATCCTTCAGCGATATCGATACTTTCACTTGTGTATTTTCGCATGTGTGCGCACAATTCCGGAAGATTTCGATTTGAAAATTCCCGCGCCGCGCGCTCAGCTGCTCCGAGAGGCGTTGCGATCTCTCGATCATCTCGCGCCGACCAATCGCTTAGTCGATCGGTGACGGCGGCGACTTCTCGACGGGCCAATTGGCTTCGATAATTGCAAATGGTCGTTTAATAACAGATGATTGAACGCGTTCCGCGGCGCTGCGTAGCATTTACCTATCAAAAGCGGTAGCGGCCGGTTGACGTTCGGTGACGCGCCGCCGGCTGACGCGCGTCCGTTGAGCGTTGAACCGGCGAGGCGGTTTCAGAGCCGTAAGGGGACGCCCTGATTCGCGTTCGACAACGAGGGAGAGAACAACGACGACGACGACGGCGACGACAACGACGACGACGACGACGACGCCACAACAGAGAGCGCGACGGAGACAGGAGACGTGGAAAAACGGAGCGGTTGGTCTTTGAATAAACGCGGCTCTATTTATTATGTGATCGCGCGCGAGTCGCGCGCCGGTCGACACAACACAAGAAAGACAACAACAAAGAGAAGACAGTCGAGGAAAAATGCGGAGCACGCGAATCGACGTTTTCTGCCATCTCATCGTGGCGATTCTCGCCGTTCTGTCGACATTTGGTCGTGCAGGTGAGTACACACACCAGTGTAGCATTTTGACGGTTATGTCGCGAACCGAAAACACTGTGAAAAAGAGTCCGGAGAGAGTTAAAGAGAGAAAAAGAGAGAGAGAGAGAGAGAGAGTCCATTGTCCGATCGGTAAATTAAAGCTTATAAAAGACGTCGAATTGGTTTGTCCGAGCCACCGCAATCACCCCAGCTTTAGCCACAATGGTCTTCTTCCGCTCTTTCTCTGTCTTTCTCTCTCTCTCTCTCTCTCTTTCTTTCCCTCCCTCTCTCTCTCTCTCTTTCTCTCTCTCTTGAGCTTTCCCTGTTCCTTTCGACGGCAGATCTCTGTCGCGTTCCTTCGCTACAATTTATCTCCATCTTCTTCGAAATCCCGGGTCTGAGAAATACGAGCATCTTCAGCTGCCTATGCTACATATGCGGAACGACACGTGACGCATTTGTCTGCGGAAAATTCGTTACGCGCTCACGAAAATACGTGTTCCGCGACGCAAAATTGTATTTTTGAATAAAATTTTTCCTTTTAGAAGTTTAAATTCGATATAAACAAAGTGCAAGGTTTTTTTTGCATACGCAAACTCGGTTTACGCTCGTTGAACAAGGAAGTATTGACAGTGATAATTCAATGATATCGCGCCTTGCAATCCGTTGACATTGGGAACAATATGATAAAAATACGTGCAAATTAACTCTTCTCGAGGCTTCTTCTAAGATAAATTCAAAATACGAGTCGTTCAAAAAAAAAAAAAACAAAAAAAACTAAAATAATAATAAACGCAAGTCAATACTGAAACGCAGTTGCTACTGACGTTACATCTAACGAATTTGAGAACTGAAAACAACACCGAAATACGAGACAAAACAAGCTTGTATATTGTTTTTCACGTGTTGTATATTTTATAAATACATTGCCGTTATCTTTGAAATAAACTATCAAGTGAACACGTATCTCTCACATGTCGAGATGATTGATCGATTATCTGTTATTGTTAATTTGCGCGTCATATATTTATTGCAAATGAAAAACAACAACAAAAATCTGAAATGCTTATTTGCAACAGCACTTTTGTATTTCTTAAGATAAATTAGCAAAACGGCGGTTACGTACGCGAGGAATAAATTTGCGATAATATATTATCTGCTTAAAGAGACGGATTGCAGTTTTTTTTTATCTGTCTGCGTGTTACTGTTGTTGACGATTCACAGGAATATACTCAACTTTGTTTTTTTATGTGACATAATGATCCGTAACTTTAGGGTAGAGATCGACGTTGCGTGTCGTAATTAACGTAATTTGTTTTTACAAGTTATCTTTGCATTTTGTTCCCACAAGTGCACGTTCGTGAATATTTTTATGGCATGTATCGATGCACGAGCGTTTTTTTTTTCTTGCACAGTCCCCTTTTGTTGAACTTGCGAAATCGGTTGTTCTGCGCGAAGTTTTAATTGGATTTTATTACGGCAATAAACACTTTTATAAACTTACATTTTAAGAGAGAGAGCTGCAGTATTTAATACACTGTTGCATGAAACGTGATAGTCGTATAAAAATTTATCTTGATTGAAAAGTTACGGGCGTCTTACTGCACATCGGGATTATTCGCGATTACGCGGTAATGTTTCGATTGCGTCGTTATTTGCCGCGTGGATTTCGTTGTTGGCACACCCCGAGATATCGATACGGTCCTGTGTTTTATCGATCGCATAATTTTTGAGAGTCTCGAAACGAGATTCGCGCGTACGTTACAAGCCAGAGAAAAAGACAGAGAGACTACGTGTATTAATTTAAATAACCGGAAGATTATGTAAGTGCGCGCGCGTGAAAAGAATTCGGCGAAAAGAAAAGTGGCAAAACGGTATTCGCGCACGCGAGTTTTGCGCGCGTTTTATTTCGGAGCTTGTTTGAAAGTCGTCTTCGTTATAGACGAGAGAAAATGTTTCTCTTTGCTCAACGTGCGCGTAGGCAGTTACTCTTATTATATGTTTGTTTGTTTGAGTTGTGCACGAGTGCACGTGGCCGTTTCGCTCACGCGTTTGCAACGAAGAAAATACACCAGCGCGTTAATAAAGAATCGCCACGTACACACATGCCGCCAACTTATGCGTCTCGGAAAGTAGGTTGGAAATAAGTTCATCGGCGTGTCTTAGTCTGTACATAACATACATACGTTTGCGGAGCATTTTATATTTCCTCTGCTGGTATATATTCTCTTTTCCTCTTGCTTTAATATTCTTAAAAGGATGTTTTACGAGCACGATAATAAAACGTTCCGGTAAATTTTTCAAACTGCGAGAGAAAGAGAAAGAGACTTCTTCGCGTGTATATCTCGCGGCGGATGTGTGCGCGCTACACGTTCATAATAAACGAGATGACTTTGGGGAATATCGTATTACGCGCGTTACGTGAAAATCCTTCAACTGAATCCACATCTTTCGCGTGGCGAAATTCTCTGTCGAAATTGACGCGAGAGGCTGTGACGAAGACACGCGAACGGTATTTCTGCAATCTTTCTTTTCAAAGAAAGTTAATTTCATATGCGTAACCACCGACGTGACGTGAGACGTTTTACTCGAAGAATATCGGATGTATGTATAAATCGCGCGAGGCTATACACGCTTTATTATATATTTTTAGCATTTTCTTCACATATCCTTCCTTGTTTTCCTGTGCAACGTCGATATCTTAGGTCTCGTAAAGTTAAAAAAATATCGCGGTAACGATACAACGACAAATCGAAAGAGAAATAAATTAAAGAGATAAATATAGAGAGATTTTCTCTATATTTTTAATAATAATTATTATAATTATAATAACAACTTTAGATGCAAAATTATAAACACAGATTTAATATCTGCCACATTTCTCGGTTGTAGAATTTATTTATCGGAACTCATTTATTGACCCGCGACATTTTTCAATTATTCAGTTATCGTTTCGTTATTGACAGACGACTGAATAAACGATGTGTTATTATAATCTGTGTGTCATGCATTTTCTATCCGGATATGTAACGTTTCATTTATCTTTCAAGCTCTCGATAACTTTGATCCGATTCTCGAGAATATAATCTAAAAACTCCGATTTCGAGGTGAGATTATTCGTTCGGGATGATTATACGTCTTTCGTTCCGCTACGGAAAGCCGGAGATTTTTATCGGAGGATGAGAGATAAGTTGCGCACAATTCCGCGTAATCTCGAAGCGCGGTGAGAGAGGAATTTTTTTTTATTGGACTCCGATCGACCGAAGTTCGAAGGCGATTTGCAAATGGGACTTTCTTGAAAGAGCAAGAGATGAAGTGTCTCTTTGTTCGGCCGAATAGACCGATTTTTACGACGTTATCGCAGAGAAAGAAAGAGAAAAACTCGTTCGTATCGTATTATGCACCGCGATTCTCTCTACGAGAAGTACAACAAACGAATCGAATATTGATATCTTCGGAATTGCTCAGAAACTATCGAGACTCTTATAAATCGACGATACGATAAAATCCTGTCGACTGTGTAACGCAACGTGTTTCAAATTCAGACGATGAATAATAAATGATGATATTAAATAAAATCGCGCTCACAATCTCAATGCAATGGTAATTTTATTCGCATAGATAAAAATCGTGAAACATCGGTAGACATCGAGAAGTGTTGTTTGAACATTAACAATTTCTTTCGCGTCTAACAATTGTTATATTCGCGACGAGAACCGACGGGTTGTGAAGACGCGCGGCGCTTCCGCGTGTTTCCACATCGGCATTTCGAGGAAGCAAATCACACACACGGGGGTGACATTATGAAATTAATACGACACCAACCACTTAAATCAAAAGCAGCAGGTCCCTTTAATGTGTTTGACTCTTTGCCACGGTTAACTCTCGTATATATATTGTATATGTATATGCATGCACTGTTGATAAAACGAATTCGTCTCAATTAACTGATTCAGCCAATCACGCGTCACGCGGGCTCGATGGAGTTACGAAAATGCCATTCATCCTCTTCTGTTTCTTTTGTATCTCGTCTTCTGCTCTGGATGAGATAATGAAACGTCGGCCGATGATAATGTGACGGATAAGAAACAGTGGCATGTTCGATTAAGACCTGCGTGACGTATGCAATTATCGATGTGCCATATGTGGGTGCGTGCGTGCGTGTGCGTTCGCATATTGTCTTGACAATTGCATCCCGTTATCACTCTTCGAGAGCATTCGACTAGCTTCGAAGAACAAAGCATCAAAGCAATACGCCAGATCTAATACGCATGATATTCTTACGCATTCTTTTCTCTTATTTTATTTTTCTACAAGAGAGTTTGACTTATCGAGTTTGACTTATCGAGTAAATTGATATGTTTGCGATGTTTTTGAAACCTTGACTCCGAGCTTGCGCTTGATTTTAATATGATATCTCGTCTTGTTAATTACCACGTTTCTGTAACGCTTCTTGTGTTTCTTGCGTAGATCCCGTGGTGAATACATATATGCGTATTTCCTGTGCTATTTTGGAACGTGCTGACGATATATCTTGTGTTTTCTTAGTCATCGCTTAGATACGAATATTATATGCACTACCAAGATGTGTGTAATTGCTGATTATTGCAACAGAGACTGAATTACATTACATTAAATTTAAATTTTCATTGCATCGCATATTATATTATATCTGTTAGTACATGTCATTTTGTTATTTCTTTTGAAATCTCACAACACTGTTTATGAACTACAACGTACTGTTCCATTTTTGTAACTGCTCGGTGCGCGTGAAGCGGAAATTTAAATTGCGAGTTAACTGAATACGCCGGGACTCTTCAGCCGTGAATCTCTCGCAGCTCGTCGTCAACGTTTCGCCCATCTTTAACCCGACGTAATGGCAAGGGCGGTTATTCATAATTCTTCCGCGACGATTCTTTTCAGAGACCCCGTGCGACGCTGCCGAACTCGGAAAAACGCAGTGCAGCAAGAATCAGAGATGCAGCCAGATCGTGAATGCAAATGGCCAGCTGTCGTCGGTGTGCGTGTGTCAACGAAACTTTCATTTAGTTAATGACGAGTGTGTTGAAAATAAAACGGCGTCGTTTGCCGATATTACCACCCTTAAGCCGGAATACAAATCCGAGTCAGGAGGTACGTGCACGTGGAAAAAGATCAACATGTGAATACACACACACACACTTGGACGAGTAGATTGCAGATTGTTGAGGATGTTTTATTTTTATAGTTTTTGAGAATCAGATGTTGAGTTTAGTAAACGCAAGATTTCGACAAATTTGATAATTTTGAAACAGGTTTTGAAACTTTATGTCACATTTTTGTAACGACTGCTAACGTAACTCTCAGTTCGTTCTTGATTAGATAAATGCTGTGGTTTTAGCTTTGTTATTCGCTATAATAAAGATACATACCAGAAAGAAAAGGTCTGATACGTAAATGTTGTAAGATAACAGTGGCACGACAAGAAACGTCAACCATTAAAGATCTCACTGTGATTCAGGTAGCTCCGTAGCAGCCGGTCTTCTAATACCGACCTTCCTCATAGTAGTCGGTGTTCTGCTGTACTTCGGCGCGAGACGGTACAAATGGCTGCAACGGTTTCGGCAATACCGTCACAATCGGTATGGCAATGTCCTAGTCACGAGAGACGACGACGACGACGACGACCCGCCGATAGCGTAAGATAACAAATGATATGAGAAAATTATTAAATTTAACGTGAGAAACGCAGATGTATACGCTTGCACAAGGTGTGCATCAACTCTAAACGTGGTATTTGTTGATGGTTCGCACGTAGTTACACAGATTTTAATAAATACTACGTATATAAAATGTATATTCATTTACAATTTTGATACGTATACACTTACTGTAGCCTACCTATTCCGTTATAAAACAGAAATTCTTCGCAGTTTATTTCTACATCACAATAAACAACAGTTTTTGTTTTTAAATTAAAATTTTTAAAAGCACGAAATATTTATTTTTTTCAATCAACTGTTCGTGACGCGAGAGAAATTTATCTACATTTTGCGCCGTACTTCGATCGGCTGCAACGATCACATTTTGTCTTTGGGGGATCATTGTTATGTAACTCCGTGCGAATATCAGCAGATGAATGACATAAGAGATGAAGAGCGAAATGAATTACGAGGCCAAATGTAAAGCGCGTTCGTGCGAGTAGTTACGCTTTTTTTTCAAACGAATTGAATTGCGCGTTTATTGATTACTATTTTTATAAGTATTAATAGAAGTGTGTAAATTTTTAATACTTTTAAAACATGGAATCGCGTTTGAATGAAGATAAGTTCAATTCGTCAAAGATAAAAAAAAAAAAAGAGTGTTTCCATTCGTATCGAATCGCCGAATCTATATATTTATATGTGATGATTGGAAGGAGGGAATATATGACATAATGGACTGCGTTAATAATAATTCTAGACACGTTCACTGAGAGTAATAATTTTTTACATCGATATTAATAAGCTGGTCAGTAAACTCCTTACGTATAATATTATAATGTATAATAAACAGATATGATTGTTTCTTTTATTATTATTTTTTTCCACATAATATATATAACATTGTATGCAAAATGTTTCAGAAAATTAAAGTAATATATGGGATCGATGTATAATCATTGAGAATTATCTTTTAAATTTCATTATGTTTGATTACTTTTTACAATTTATAGACAATACAATTTTTCTGAATAACACTACTGTTATTTAAACTTGTCTTTTTTCCTTTGAATATTTTAGTCTCTTCCTGTGAGCAATTGTAATTTTGTCTCGGCAATTAGACCACACTAAATCACTCATGGATCTAAATTAGTACTTACCGAATACTGGATGAATAATGAGATAATTCTAAATGCTACCTATATAGCAACGACGCGGTAAATAAATTTTGACAGAGTTACCTTTCGAAACGCAGACAATTTAACAGTTATTGCGCATTATTTATACGTATTAAAAAAGAGCGTCACACTTTTCAATCTCTTTGATGTTGCTGTAACATAATATAAAAGTTTGTACATACTCTTTGCTACTTCGGAATGCGTACTCTTGCCAGTAACAAACTTCTTATAATTTAATCTGATCGTGATTCGGGAGAAGATACACTGAATCTCGTACGTGCCTTATTAGATCAAGAGTCACCAGAGAAATTGCGTTGCGTTGCGTCACACTCGCTTTACCTCTGCATGATGCATTCGCGTATTACAATTCTACAAAATTCATAAATATTGAGAAATAAATCGGTGACTCGAAAAATCTAAAGGCACGTGTGAGTAATGATCGTCGCTGAATTGGTCGCGGGAGACGATCTCGAATCACGATAGATTAACGAAATAAACTTATGAGAGAGTTATATATATATATATATATATATATACACACATATACATATATTGTATTCTATTTCTCTATTCTTGTACTCTATCATTTTTGTACAGAACTACGTATTAGATTTTAAATGATAGTAATTATTCAATGTATAGTAATATTGGATTCTGGTCGTCGTTGATCAGAGCGTGAGCGCGAGCAAGATTTGATATTTTTATAGTTCGCGAGTACAAATCTGTGAATTGACGAGTAGTACTGGCGAATTATCGATTGCATTAATTTTTAGTGCAGTGACAAATGACTTTTGCTATCCAAAGTGCAACTCTATACTGTACTGGAATGATCACTCTGTTTATAGATAACAGCTAGATATTGTGAAATATAAAGCTTGCTTCGTTTGCTTAGCTGAATTCACCGCATCTTCCGAGTGTTGCCGACAAATTCAATTTCAACTACGAATAAAATAACGAGTCGCTGATTTAGATATATATCAATATCAATTGATTGTAAATTATATATTTTTAATTTGAATCAAATTTAATCTCACATTATTTTGCAAGTATTCGTGTGAATATTCTAGTATAATATGGAGTTTACTGCCCCAAAGTATATATTACTGTCTTTTCATTTGTTATCATATTAGTACATTTCAGATTCGACTGAGTATATTCTATTTACAGGTGCGGCCACGTTTATGCAAACGTTATATTTCTTTGTTGAATAGTTTGACATTATCAGAAATGTGTTTTAAATGTCTTTTGTTTTTTTTTCTTTACCAAGGAAAAACGTAATTACAATTCTCAAAGATTGCAACTCTTGTATACGCGTGGCTTCGTTAAGTTTTAAATCGTGTCTCTGTGATGTATGTTACGTTAACTGTCCACAAAGATTTTATTGTTATCCGAATTTTCACATTTTTTCTTTGGCACAATGATTTATATCTCTGTAATTTTTTAGAAGTTTTGTAAATATTATTATATCTCCTGTTGTGTGAGAGCGCTGATACCAATGTTTGATATATTTCTATCGATAATAGAATTTTCATTGGACATTAACACAGGCAGTAGCAGCGTTGTTTTGACCAAAATGTCGCTCTGTGTGAAAAATACTTTTTAGTTACAATTCTTTTTTTTTTTACAGACACAGAGTTTCTCGACTCGGTCTTATAATGTCAGATATTCCGTTACGTAATTTATGTGTCATTTGTATTATAATAATAAAAAAAAAAGAAAAACATTCTACAATTGCAGAGCTTTCTTTCAGATGCTGTGTTATTATTTGAAATGTCAGTCGGGAGACGGAGGAAGAGGAGGAGAGCGAAAAACAACAATAGTGAATGTATAATTTCTTATTTGTTTATTTCGTAAATATCGACATAGTTTTTAAGACAAGGCATACGCTCAGGAAGACTTATTCGCTAGTAATATCTATCAAGATTCGACGATGAAACTTAACGTATACAGTTTTCCGTAAAAACAAAAAAAAAACAAAAAAACATTTATTTCGAATTTGCAATTTATCTTGAACGTGCGCAAAATAGAATATCGCATATTTATTTACAAAAACGGTTCGGATGAAAAAGAAGAGTAATATACATATTCAACGCTTCTCTGAAACTCAAATAGAGAGAGATTTGAATTTTGACGCGGTGTGCATTAACGTCGCAAAATCAAACCGTTATATTAGACTCTATAACGTTTCCGTGGTTTTATCATGTAACATTGCTAAGGGAAAACGTCTGTATCGCATTACGCTACAACACACATTTGCATTGTATTACATTATCATAGTTGCCAAGTAGAATTTCTCTCTAGCGAAGATCTCGGAACGAATCATCTGCGATTGCGGTTATCGTTGGACATTGATCCTGCCGTTATTTTTAGTGTTTGTTTTTTATTCGTGAGTAATGATGAGTACATATCAATATGAATATTAGAATGACTAACATCTCATTGTTACACGTCTCGCGCACACTTTTCCTCGCTGTAAAGCGTTTTTTTTTTTTAAATGATCTCGTCTTTTTTTCTCGCAGTTTAATTTATAATTATAAAAACCTCCTCTCTCTCTCTCTCTCTCTCTCGCGTACTACATTAATACCTAGCTGAATCGTTTACTGATTATTTCCCTACCCTCGGAGCGACGCGACGCGTCGAGGTGTGTCGCGCGTTCTTTGGAATGAAAGACACTGATCATCCGATTGCAACAAGGGCTACAAGTAGTGTCGAAGTAACGTGATGTCTGTTGACGGAAAGTCAGTTTCATAAAAGAAAGAAGAGCGTTTCTTCCGTGAAAGTGTCTTTCCTGTAAGTGAGTCGATCGGTGGCAGTATTAAATTAGTCGTTTATTCTCTCGCGAAGCCAAGGATGATACGCTTCGTGAAAAATTTATATTTTCGAGCGTTTCGTCCTTTGAAGTCTCACATCGTCATTGTGCGTGTCGTCAGTACGCGGTGTATTCCTGCCACGGTCTTTGCTGTCTGTACTGCGCCCCGCTGACCTGTATCGCTTCCGGCGTTCTGTAGTACAACGTTCGGCCGCGGTCGTTATTGATATTCGTCGCCGGCAAAAACTGCGTACTCGGGATGAAAGGTTTTTGTTCCTGATGTTGCGGTTGTTGTTGTTGTTGATGTTGATGATTGGCTCTGGAGAGCTTGTAATTATTTTCGGAAGGTTGTAGCACGGCGTCTCTGCCCAGATGTTGTCGATGAATCGGCAGAACAAATCCGCTCGGCAGATTGGCTTCCTGAATCAGAGTCGGCGTCAGCGCGTCGTTCAGAGTTACGTCGTACTCGCTCTCGGGTATGTCCTGAAGACGATGCGTCACTTCGTTGATCCTCTGCTTGGCTCTGTAGCCAGGTCCGGTGGGTAGATCCTGAAAATCTTCGCTCTTGTACGTCGAACTGTAGATATTCGGCGTGGTCTCGACGGAAGGAAGTCGGGCTTTGTTGCGAACGATCGGTGATCCTGAGGACGTTGGCACGTTGCCAGCGTTCGCGTGCTTGTTGCTCGAGTAGTTCTCCGTCCACTTAGGCGTGAGATTATCTCCTTGATGCCCGCGTGAATCGTACGATTGGTTTTGAATGGAGTATCCTCTGGAGGAATTCGACAGGTTCTCCGTGCCTCTTGAGACTTCCTCTTCGTTCTTCTCTGTCGGTCTTTGTAGCACGGGTCTGGATATCACACTGTCGTAATCCTCTTGCCATTGTTTCTTCTGAGGATCATTCAGAACGGTTTTGTAAGCGTCGTACGGTTGCTTGTTGTCTGGATTCAGGTGTGATTCCTGATTATTGATATTTCTATTGTCTTCTTGTTCCTCTTGCACGTAATAAGTCTTTCGTTCGTTTTCTTCTTCGGTGCTTCGCTGATCACTCAGCACTTCTTCCTCTCTTCTAGGCGGTTGTGACGCTTTAGAACCGACCGGTGATAATCCTCTCGGATTAGGATTACCGCCTCGAGACGGCAGGAAAGGCCTCTTCACTATTCGAACGGTGGTGCGAGGCGGAGGAGAAGACGGTGGCTCTTCCAGCGGTTCGTCATAATATTCCGAGGAGTATTCGTCAGGGTACGCGGCCTGATGATGATCTTGTTCGTTTCTACCGTCTAAGGTAGAAGAAACCGAGTCTCTCTCTTGGTAATCCACTTGTTGAGACGGTCTCTGCGATTTCTCCGACAAGTTTCTCTGATAATCCTGACTGTCACTCATTGCTACGCGACCACCACTTTGCGTTTGAATAGGTCTGGCTGGTCGTTCCGAATAAGATGGCTTCTCCGGTTGATCGGTCACCACGTCTTTGGACTCTATCTCGGACTTATAATGAACGAGCTGTTCCGGCAAGCAGGTCGTTGTAGTCGTTGTGGTAGTGGTTGTTGTAGTCGCTTTCTCAGTTGTTCTGTCGTACGAGCTCGGTCTTCTCGATACCTCCGTGGTGTCTGACAGATCCTTCGATCTCGATCGCGATCGTTCGACGTCTCTCTCGCGATCGAGAAGCCGCGGCGAGTACGGTCGTTCTTGCCTATCGGCATCCTGCGATCTTCCCCGCGAATCGCGATCCGCGGATCTTTCGGGATCCTGCGATCTGCCTCGGTCACGATCCGACGATCCGCGATCCTTGCCGCGATCCCTGCCTCGGTCTCTCTCACGATCGTAATAGCGATCCCTCGAGCGATCTTGATGTGTCCTGAGTCGTACCTCTTCTGGCGGCGAATGATAACGAGTTCTAGAAAGATCGTTAATTCGCTAACTAATATTGTATGATTGTATTTTTTTCGGTCATATACTTTGCATTCTCAAAAAGAGATTAAATCACGCGCTTTACCTACTGTTGTTTTCGCTATATATCAGTTGTCGGTGTCGTTTACGTTACCTTACCTGAAGGGGCGATCCCGATCTCGAGTTTCGTAAAAGTCTCTGTCCCGATCTCTGTCCCTGTACGAGGGTCTTCTTCTGAGCGGTCTTCTTGGCCTAATGTCTTCTAACTCGTCATCGTAATAATCATCTTCCGCCAGATCTGCCGGTCGTCGCCGTGGCTCCTCTTTAATTCAATTTCGACACGTTGAGTTTGAAGAATTCAATCTTTTCAAAGATGTTATCGGTTTTACGTACCTGTTGGTTGCGCAGGAGTGGTTTTGTACGCGTACCGATCTTGCTCCGATATCGGCACCGGTCGTCTAATCTTGGGCGGTGTTCTCGGTCGCGAGTAAACCGAACTGCTTGGCGCAGCCGGTTTCACGAGACCTTCCGAATTCGACGTCGCACTCGCCGAAGGCGCCGCGGATTCCTTATCGTCGTAATCGTCTCGATATCTGGCACGAATAAGACACGATTAATTATTATAAAAATTAATTGTGTACATCACGCATACAACAAAATATCTAAGAGTTTCGATCGTCTTAATAGAATCGAATTCTCACTTCTTTTGTCAGAATACCTTCGATCGTCAACATCCCTGTTTCTTGACTCCGTTCGCCTGTCATACGTATCTGAATCGTCCACCTCTCTCGACGACGATCTGATGACACCCTGGTCTGGATTTCTTCCCCGAGATCTCAAGTCGTCCTCGAGGGGATCCCTCAGTCTGGGAGGCTCTCTTCTGTTTCCTCTGCTCGAGTACCTTTCGCGATCTCTATCGTCTCTACCGCGCGGCGGTGGCGGTGGCGGCGGCGGCGGCTCTCTGTCCCGGAAGTCACGATCGCGGTCCCGATCCCTGAAGTCGCGATCTCTCCTGTACTTCCGGTCGTCGTATTCGTATTCATCTCGGCCGGCGAAGTCCCGCGGACGACCGTACTCGTCGTCGTAATAATCCTCGTCATAATAGTCGTAAGGTCTCCTTCTTGTCGGAGGAGGTCTTCGTCGGGAAGCAAGTCTGTCGCGTCCCGGTCGACTGGTCGACGCGGTGACCGGCGCTACCGTCGTTGTGGTCGTGGTTGTTGTCGTGGCGGCCTGATAAAGAGCGTCGTTTCTGTGCCAGTATTTTTTGGAATTGGCGCAGTCGACCTCGGACACGAAGTGACAGATGAAGGTCTTTTGGTCGAACGCCGTGAAGTTGGCGCACAGGAAGTCGTAGCGAGTGCCGAAGAGACAGTGATGGTAGACCTTGAAGCAGAGAGACGCATAATGATATAAAAAAAAAAAAACGATTGCGCGCGACACGTTCGCCATGCGCTGCTGCGCGAACGGAATTCCAAGAGTAACGTCATTAATCGTCGTTGCTATAAGACGATCATTAAGAATACCGAATGGATTTTGGCGAAACGGCACGAGCGTTTACGAAATCGAATCGATCGATGGGTGAAAGCGGCCGACGGCAAATCGGCGCCCGCCGTCAAACTTTCGAGATTTTTTAAACGGCATTTGGATCGAATTTCTGGCATCGTGTCTTCGCGACGTCGCGAGATTCGTCGTCGTGTCGTCGCCGTTTTCTGAAATAAAACAAAACGTCGACGACGCAACGGCGGTCTAACACACTTTTCACTGCAAACGAGCGATCTTACCGCACGTAGCTTTCACACGGCGCGGTTCTGCGCGTGTGCGTGTGTATATGTGTGCGCGAGCGCGAATATAATTGCACCCGCTCGCGTAAATGTGCATTCTGCGGTGCCTCACGCACGATGCTCGCGTTTGTGTGCGAGGCGTTTGTATTATCTGGAACGCACAAACGCCCGTGAATTATCTGAGAGGAGGGAGAAAAATTATCTGGAAATCATTCAGAGCACATCCTTTCGGCAAGCGTTTGGCATCGTTTCGCCGAGATTCTCCGTGTAAAGAAGAAGTTGGCTCGTCTCCTCCAATAATAGATCGTGAATCTTACTCAACTCGCCATGCAAATGTCAGACGATCATCGAATGCCTAATCGCGTCTAATGAGACTCACGCGCATATGCGGCTTGGAGTTAATCTCAGTGCAGTTAGAGAGTCTCTGCAACTTCTTCGACACAAAGTAGATATTATCTTTCAATGTTGTTTTTTTTTTTTTTTTATCTTCTAGTCCCGGACGTACAATTACATTTATTTCGCGCGTGCGTTCCTCAGTTTGATTAATTGTTTTGAAGTTTTTTTGAAAAATTAAAAAAAAATTTAAATTTTATCTTCTAATCGTCGCGCGATTACGTGTATAACAATTCCTCGGGAATTCACGTTTTACGACAGTTTCGACTGCGCGAGGAATTTACGGTGAAAAGTCCGACGAAGTAAAACGCGCTCGTCGGGAACTTCCTTTCAGAGCCAGATGCGGAAAACGAATCGCGGTTGTTTGCATGAGAACTAGCGCCGGAATTATTCAGAGCGCGTCCTTCTTTATATCTTACGAGAAAATGCCTTTTCGCGCGATCTTCTCGACGTTCAACGTCGGTCGAACTACGAACTCCTCGTCGCCGAGGATTAATCGTTGAGAATCGTTCAACAAATTCGCCCGAGGCCGCGAAAAGGCGTGGAAGAAAATAATCCGAGGTAATTGCGAATCATTTCCCGGCAGGAAGCCCGCGGGACGGATATTAATTGCTCATTTCCCAATTTCTCTTTCGCGACAAAAAACTTTTGCGCGATGACGTAAAAATTTGCGTATTTCTTGCGCAGCCTTATGACGAACCTTAAATATATTTGCATGACAATCGTCCATTCGTTCTGCAGCACCGTGAAAATGATCGATAAGAAAACCGAGCCGAGAAAAGGGGAGCTGCTTTGCACAACTTTGCAATCGCTTTCACAATTCTAGGATTCGCGCGCACATGAATCGCACGCGCGCGGTCAGGGACGAGAAGCGTAGCGGACCACGAAAGTCCTCGTAAGGCTTCTTTTCGCAGTGACCTTGTTATTACGATCTCGGCAAAAGATGTTTTTCACTTTCAATATCGATTTCTACTTTCGGTTGCTCTTACAATCCACACGCGATACACATTATTGAAAGATTAATCGATTTGCGGATCGGATTACTCTCGACAATTTCTGATCTGCTGTCACATCGTGGTGAAATTTTGTATATCTCGATTGATATAAATCGCCGTTACTTTGTTTTGCAAAGTTTTATTTAATCGCAGTCGATTATCGTCGGGATAGTCTTCGTAATCGACCTAATGCGAACGTGCAAAATCGTCGTGAAAAATCGGTGTATCATAGATATTACGTTACGTATCTCATGCGTCTGCCAGCCACGGAGTTATGATAATTATCGCGCTCGTGTGTGTACGATAATTACATCAGGACTGTAATTTGATTTCGTCGAGACGGACGACGTTGAAATGAATTCGCGTCGATGATTTCTCAATCGTTTTCACGGGAATCCAAACCGGGATTCGCGCGGTGAAACGATCGCTCTTAGCAATGATGATTGGTAAAAGTGTACTCAATCTCGATACGCGGGCAATTTTTTTGCGATCCGCATCCCGTTCGAGATGAGAACTCGCTTTCGTTCGCGTTCGTGTCAATCGCTTATCAATCAATCCTTCGGATCGACGTCGACGACCGTTCCGATGTAATATCGTATCGTCGGAAATATCAGGCGAACTCGAGGATCATTGACACCTCGGATCATTGACACCTGTTCGTTGCGCGAAAGATGTACCAAGCTGTGTCAGATCTTTCTTTAGAATCTCATTCAACCGACGCCTGACTTCCGTCTCAGCATCGGTTCTTTTTGCCGGCGAAATAATACCTCAGGCTCTCGTTCGCTCAAATTGCAGACGTGGAAACGCTAATAAACGGATTTTAATCGGCGCTGACGCGCGCAATGAACATCTTCCGATGTAGAAGGCATTTAATTTTTTTTTCCTTACAAACATATGTTTTATTGATGTTTTTCCGAAGGAGAAAAAGTAGGAAAAAAGAGAGAGAGAGAAAGATTAAAATGTTATTTCTACATTGTAAGTATCATTAAATAAATCACCTGACATTTGTGCGGCACGCTGGCGTAGAACCCATCGTGCAGACCGTCGCATTTGAAGTCAATATTCTCCGGTATGCTATTATAGAACGGATAATCACTGAGATTGTAACCGTTCAACTCGCGCGGTAAATTCGGGTCCCATATGTAATCGATTTGCGGTATTCCCGTCAAGGTGTGCCCGGTCGTTCCGTTGGTTTCGGTCGCGACCGTTGTCGTCTGGAGGAAAACAAACACAGAATTACAATAATAAACTTTTCCACACACACACACACACACACAATTGCTAAGCGAGATCAAGAATCTCAAAAATTTTCAAAATTTTTCCAACAAACACGCTTCTACGTCAGTGCTGTGTAAAAACGGCTTTCATTTCCTAAGCGGAAAACATGATCGATTTTGCTGTAATAATAATTTCCGTATTGTCTTCTGCGGAAAAGCGTGTCCGACAGACCGGAATCTGATAGAAAAGTTATTTTACGCTTGAGAAAGCCGCAATATAAATGTTTATAAGCAGCGATGAGCAGCGGCTTCGATTTGATGATGTCACGTGCGCGCGTTTTGTGTGTGAAGGTGAACCTGTCGCTCGTTCGAGTTTTAACGTTAATTGATCTGACACCGAACTATTAACCGAAGTGGCGTCTCCGCGCACCCCGATGACGAGTTAGTTGACGTATCGAAATAGATTTTTATATAGCGCGCGCACAAGCCACCCTTGTGATTCTACAATGTTTTATATCCGGTTTTATTTACGCGCGTCGCCATGTGCGACGGTGCGCGAGTCTTTCTTTTTACTCGCGAGCACAAACGACGAGCTGACGAAATCGGGTTTTGGTACACGTGTAATTATGATCGTCGTGACCACGGCAAATCAATTTTGCAATAAAGAACGATAAACGATCGCGGTCTCATCCGCGTCACGTCGCGCGAATACGAACACGATCTCTCAATCTGGAACAGAGATTGAAATAATTGTAATTTCGATCGAATAGCGATTTATAAAGTGGAACAGAAACACTTTTTTACGCAAGACGCGCACATTGTTTTGTCCGTAACGTCGAGAAATTACATTCATTAAAAAAAAAAATTCTCATTACGCGGATTTCAATCTCTATATTCGCGTTACAATGTAACATTGATAAATCATACATTGTTTTCGAGATTCGTGTAATTATACATTACGTCGTTAAGAATTATATTCATAACATTAGAAAACCAGTTACGCGCCGCCTTGTAATTTATTACACACGCGGCAATCGTGTCGTAAGCGTTTGTATACGTACTTCCGAACTCGTATTGTTATTTTCTTCCTCCCGAGGCTCCTCGGTGGTGGTTGTCGTCGTGGTCGTCGTCGAGGTTGTCGCGATTTTGAATTTCGGCCTGGTCTTGAGCGCTGCGGAGACCGCGTGGACCAATAATAATCCTAAAATGTATAAAACAAAAAACAAACGGAAGATCTCATTGAGAATCGTCGAGATTTAAAAAGACCCGCGCGATCCTCACGATCGCGAAACCACGATCTGGGAAAGCAATCGTGCATGTGGGTAAATAAATACAGGTCTGATCGCCCGAGGGGCATTGATGGCCCTGATGAGTCGTCTGGTTACATTAAGGAAAAAGGCCACGCATCCGCGAATTACGTAAATCGCGGAGAAGAGCGTCGGTGTTGCAAAACCTGGACGAGAAGTGTGGTGAGAACCCTACGTAAGTGTTGCAATTTTCTCTCGCCGTGTGCGAGTGTGCATTCGGTTAGGTAATTGTTTCTCAAACGGATCAAGGCTGTCTATTGATCGTTTCCCTTACACGTTTTGTTGTTGATTTTAGATCTACATACGAGCTACATATATATATATGACATAGACTTGTGATATACCGCATCAATCTCGGCGTCCGTTCTTCGAGGGTCGCTTTCACTTCTCACTCGCTCTTTGATTCGTTTAATTCTTATTAGTTTTACCTTCAGTCTTGTTTTATTTATTTTATATGTTTTATATTGTGTTTACACACGTAGTTTACAATGGAAGGGAAACGATATTTACAACTCTCCGTGCTACTGAATCACACTTGACTATTTTGAAGTAGTTCAAGGCTATTTCGAAGACAGATGAGAGATGTAAGAAATTAGTTTGCGACCAAGTTCATTATTGGATCAAGAGTTGCTTTGCCGTTTATCCAACTTTTCCGAAGTCGCATGTTTTATTAGTAAATTTACTGGAAATTCAATTTAATCAATTTAATTCGTGTAAACACACGTTGCGCGATCTTTCAGGGTGAAAAAAACTACAAGAAGACTTAATTCACCTCCAACTTAAGCAGCAATCAGTTTAGAATGTAGTTGCTGCTCGGGTGACCGACTAAAAATTTTTTACATGTATTATAATCGTCGTTTTTACGGTCGTTCGCGCTGTGTCTCGCAATCGTTTCTCGCGCGCGTTTCTCGCTCCCGTGATTTTCGATACGATTCTCGGAGCGTGGCGCTCGCACATGCGGAAAAACGCGTTCGCGCCTTCGCGTCGCGGCGCGTTTAGGAAGGCGGCGGCTTTACGAACCGGAAAGTGGATGTCCTCGAAGGTGATGTTGAAAACTCTGTTGTAGGCCCGGTGACCGTATAACGGAATCATATACTTTTCCCGGGCCGCGCGATCGATAACGAGCGTTCCGCGGCGGGTCAGCGTTGCATAAAAATAAATTATGAGAACGCGCTCGCATTCCGTTTGTGGGAAATGTTAACGTGGGCGTGCCCTCTCCCCCATAAACGGCAAATCGGATTCCATGACGAAACCGCCGCTTTACTATACCACCGTGTCTGCGGTATAAACAAATTGCCTCATCCAATTGTCTGTCGGCGACGCGGAGTCTCGCTATCGAATGGGAATGATCTGACATTTTGCTCCTATACGAAGGGCGTGAACCGACACCCTTCTTTATCCCGGTGCGAGATGATTCTCGTTAAAAAAAAAGCAGTTACGCCGCAAAACGCAATTCACACGTTGTGCGCGAGCGGAGTTCGACCTCCGGATGCGTCTCGATAATCAAACGTTACTTGCGCTCATTCCTGTAAGTTAGTGTACGCGTTCCTAATTGTCGTAAAACTTTTACGATGTCGTAAGAAACACGAAGGTCTCAATTATTTTGTGACTTTTAAGCGGAGGTCTTTTAAAGATCTCAAACCGGAGACGAGAGACCAAAATGTCAGAAAACATTCTAACAAACGCTTACGCGGTGTCGCATGACCGATTCGAAACGTTCGAGTGGGCTGAGTTACGGACTGAGTTGAATTCGCATTTGTATTTGCCGCGAATAGAAACGCGAAGAAAAATTTCTTCTGTCACGCGCCAACCTACGTGGAATTCCATTTTTTTTTTTTTTTAATCGGATCCCGAGCTCTTTCTTGTCGCGATAAAACGACACTAAAGCTTCGGATATCGCCCAAGTATCTCGCGTTCCGAGTTTCGGACACTTAAGATTACACACTCGTCACACAGAGACAAAGGAGACGGGTCCTCTTGACATTCACGACGACGACGGGTCCCCCCTTTCTTCGTGGAATCTTTCTGTAAATCGTTTTTGCATACAACTATGGATGCAGCGCGAATACCAAATGCGTTTTGATACACGATGAAAGATGAATATTTTATTTTTTTTTTCAGTCAACGAACGGTTCTCTTCTGCTCGGTTCTCTCTTTGTTTCGAATCAACTCTGAAGTATATTTTTCACAAACTTTTAATTAACGTCAAAAATGGAAGTGGAGACGAGATAATACGAGAGGAAAATCTTTGCTTCTCTCTCGTACGCGAAACGGCAAAATCTCTTCTCCGAAGCGGTCGAAACTTTTTCTGTCAAATATCTATTAAATTTCGAATTCTCCTCGCGTATCGTTTATCCCCGAATCCGTTCGTTCGTTACTCGTGAAAGGTGGAAATCGCAATATCTGTGCGCGATGTAAAATCTTTGAAAGTGTGGAAGGTCGTCCACTGTCTCTCTCTCTTCTCCGACATTCCTCCCGTCGGAAAGTTCCAAAATACGAAAGGACGCGTCACGGGAGACCGCGTGAGCGCACAAGGAAATTCCTTTATTTACGGAGCGATAAACAGGATTTGAAGAAATAGTAGAAATCAAGTAAAAGTAAATTCCCTGCTGACAAGTCTCGCTCTTCGGCGGAGAATCGCGAAACGGAGAATCATCCTCCGATGATGCTTACCGTACAGAGCGAGCAGCAGCAGCCGCCATCGTTTCTCCCGCATGTTGGCACTGCAACAAACGAATTAATTATGTTAATTAATAGAATTAGTTCGCGGTTTGTGTTCTGGTTTAATTAAAAGATAGAGGATCAAATCCCTTAACGTACAAAAATGAAAACTAATAATTACTAATTAATAATTAATCTTTCCTACATGTTTGAATAATTAAAATCTCAGTATTTAGCGCGATCAAGCATTTTATTTGAGTATTACAGCGACTAATTGCGTCCTTGGCTGTGTGATACGTAATTTCGCATAATTTTCGTTAATGGAGTTCGCAACCTTGGAGTTTTGCGCCACGCTTTTTGGAAACGTTAATCTTTTTTTTTTTATCGGAAATCTTTACGCAAGACGTGCCGGGGACAAGAGAGATTTCTACCGTTGCGAAATGTTAGTCAAATTCCTCGGGGTGTCAAGTGGCAATTGCACGGCACCGTGCACAGATGATCAAAGCGGCGCCTTAACACCGCCGCGGCGTAGACTCGCGAGCATATGGGAACGGATAGGGAACTTTCTCTGTGCTGTCACACCACCGCTAACCATATAATGCAAGGATAATGCGAGAGTTATATAAATGTGCGATCACGTAATATCGGGTGTGATAGTCGCGGCTCTGTGAGCGTCTAATTATATTAGTCTCTATTGATGTTCTCGGAACATGCGCACATCCGAAGAAAGATGCTTGAAGCATCGCTCGCGAGAGAGATAGATTCTCAACGCGATAATCGCGTGATATATCCTTAGATTCGGTAAATCGGATAATTGCGCGCGATTTTTACAGTTGGTTTTTTTTACAGTTGATGATTATTCTAGGTTTTTTGTTTTTCTTCTTTCTCTGGAAAGTCACGAATTCGGGCGCGTTGCTTTTCAAAATTTTCGAATCTCGCGTCGTGAAACTTTATTTACGACTAGAAAACACACAGCGTCAATTATTATCTTCGCTAGAAGTGAGGACGACCTTGATTTTTTTTTTGGCAGTTTTGAAGGGGGATAATTCATTTTCGATAGATAATAAATGCGCTCACCGCGCACATAACATTTTCAGATTTTACATTTTTATCTGGGGTAGTGAAAGTAACCTTGCAACTTAGTCAGTATCGCATTAGATTGCCAATCTTGGACTTGATGCATTTATACCATGAATGTACCACTATGCACCTGTTACGATTCGTACAATTTGCAGTCACGCGGATAATGAGATTTGAATCGCGGCGTGTAATCCTTTCGTTTGAAAAAAAAAAAAAAAAAAACACATCGAGATTATACGAAAAAACTCTTTATCGAGTTTTCGGTTGTTGATACAAATTAATTATGACGAGACTCGAACGGGAAAAAAAATTGTTTCTCTTTTTTTCTTCCCCGTAATTTCCGACGTATTCCGACGTTTCCGTCGTTAATTAAACCGAAAGGCGCCACCGGCTTCTCTCGAACGTAAGTAAATACAAACTCGCTCTTGTCAGTTTGCGCACAGAAATGTGGGACGTTCGAGCCGAGCGTGCACACGCGGCTGCGCCGTACACGCTCGCATTAATTAAACGCTATCGCGCTCCAGTTCTCATGCCGGATTCTTATCGTTTCTGTAAAAGTAGGAAAAAAAGAGATAGGATGTGCGCCTCTCGCCGGCTGTAACTGCACAAGACTGCATTATTCGGTTACACAAGTTTTCGCAATTACGCCTTTTGTCTGTGTCACAAATGTGAACGAGTTCTCAGGCGCGCTGTGGGAAGCGCCGCCTCAAATTACACAGGACCTTATCCGGAAGCTGCGGAAAAAAACCTACGCGCTGGATCTTTAAGTAATAAAATCTATGAATAATAAAATCTCTGAATATTCAACACGGAGATCAGATTCGTCGTTCTGCTGAATTATTTATCGCATTTTGTAATCGGGTGAGTTTGACACTTGTGTGTACTTTACAATTCGCATTTTCAACACTTGCCAGAGAAAAACATTTTTCCCGATGTTAAACCGGACTTGAACAATCGTTTTTTTTACAGCCTGCAACGAGCATCGCAGATGTAATATTTATGCATGCGTGTAACAGACTCCTGATGTTATCGCGCTGAAAATATTGTCTAGAGAAGAGACTGCTTGCTAGTTTGTTATTGAATATACGGGAAACACGCGAGACTGAGATACGATCTCTCAATAGATTTTTATCTCGGATCGAACGGTTTCCTTGTCGGAGATGTCTTCTTTTTCATCGAGTCGCGCCGGAACGCGTTGCCCGTAACGTTACCTTACGGTAAATTACATTACGTTACGGCATACACGTAACGGTCATCCACGCGCTCGCGAAAGGTCACCGGAAGTGATGACTGGTACGACTAGTTGATTGATTCAACTTCTTAAATCGGATGGTGACAATAAAAGGTAAACTTCAAAGATCCACCGCCTCTTCTCTGTTTGAATAACTTGAGAATGTTCGAAAGGTAAAATTGAAAACATCTCTAATCAGTGTTTTAAATCTTTAATTAATTAGTATCGATGTTTTTGTTTTTTTATCAAAATATTCCTAACAAAGAAATATTCCAAAACTATTTTTATGTTTTTGACTTGAAAAAAAAGTTTTTTGTAAGAACAAATAGCGAACTACACACATGCATCTTTCCGGTCGCTGTGGACAAATTTTTCACGCAAACAACAAGACGCGGTTGTAAAACCCGACGGCCTTCAAAAGAACACGGTATGTCGAACTCGTGAGTTCTTATTTCTTTCGAGCTTAGCCATCGAATACTCCGGGAATAATACATCAAGTAAGCAACAAAGAAAAAACACGATATTTAAAACGACGGAAACCTGATTTTTAAAACTTCATCGAAAGATGATACCAAGATAGGTGTGTCGTGTCTAGACAATTCTCGCGACATTTTGTTTGTTTTTTAAAATATATCTCAATAAGAGATTGTTAAAAAACAGTTTTGCGAGATTAATGTAAATTCGTGTCACACGAGCAGACTCCGAAAAAAAGAAATGTACAAGTGGTATTTTAGGCAAGAGATTGTGCAACTGGTTGCGAGATTTAGCAAGCACCTATAACGACATTCGAATTTAAATGTTACGTAATGTAACTGCTGGTGACTGACATTTAAAATTTATCGAAGTCCGTGAGATAAAAATTTTACTTCAGAGGAACTAATTTTTTTCTGTTCGCAACATTTTTAACGTCAAACATTAGAGGCAACGATTAGAAAAACAAATGCACGAATCTGTGCGATGAAACACACCGTAAAAGTACCGCTTATCTGTGTGTAACAGAAACTTTTTTTCTAACAATCCTCCGAAGAAAGCAGTTGGTCAGATCGCGGAAAGCGGAATTGTATCTCGTAAAACGGATCTGCTTAAAATTAGATGCGGATCCGGCAGTTCAACAGATCGATCACCGCTTCTCCTCTCGCCATTCTAATCATGACGCTCGTGCGAAGATATTCGTTACATTACAGTTACAAGCATCGGCTCGCCTTGTAAGTAGAAAGTGCGTGATTGTGCAAGGCAAACATATGCAGAGCAAATGTTAATAATTGCAACAGGAGCTATTGGTCGCGCGTGCGCGTAAGAGAAGTATCCTTTGTAAATTAACTAGATTACTATCTAGTTTTAGTACGTGTGTGTGTGTGTGTGTGCGTGCGTGGAGAATGAAACGTTGAACTTGCTTGGACGAGAACCAGGGCCGCATGGTTGAATTTCGGAACCGCGCGTGCAAACGTTGCGTCGAAAGCGTAGAAACAAACACGTCGGCACATCGATCTTCCGACGTTTTCCTCGCGAATGCATTTTTGCACGAGTCATTTCATGTTTAAACACAGAAAACTGCTTTAACACGCAAAATTGATCCACATCGAGGACGCAACTAGAGCGAAAACATTTTGCGATGTTACCGTGGTGAGAAGCGCGTCAAATAAAATGTTAAATTAAGTTTGAACACAGCCGATAATAGTTTGTGAAAACAATGTAACGAAGAATCTGGAATAGGTGTATCTTTTTTTTTTTTTTTTTTGCGCGCGCGTGTACACGGCCAATAGAAAGTATTTACTCGCCGGCGACGGTCTCTTCTCTTAATTTTGCCGTGATTTTATTATACTTTTCACTAAGTGTTAGATGTTTTCTTTTAAAATGCTATAATTTTAGTTAGTTCTCCTCTTATCTCGCCGGCACATCGCGTTTCCGAGCTTCCGTTCTGCCACCAGACCGATTTCTCCTATTAGAATTTAGAAATTCTTGCACGATATTCCATTTATGAGCTTTCCGCGAGGGTAGTGTTTCGCTAATTTTACGCCACGTGCCATAAGCGTATGTATTTGCTAATTTACGTGTAAAAGGAATTACATCAAATGTCTTCCTTGTGGCGGAAAGAAATTTAACGAACAAACACTTTCGCGCGAACCGCGAATGGCTTTCGATTGTGATAATAATTTGGAAATTAGCTTCCAACGCTCACGTACACATTTTCACGGGAGGGGAGCATTTACGTTTCAACGCACGCTCGAATGATCACGGAATTAAAGCAATCGGACTCGTTTACCATAAAGCAACCGCTTGCGCAACAAAGCGACGTCGTCAATAGATAATTTTTTATTCTTATCTAATATCTTCTCAATTCCCTTCTCTCTTCCCCATCTAATTCTGGCATTCGAAATGTGTCCTGTTCTCGGGTTTGGAATCAATTAAGTACGTTCGCGTATCAAACTGTCAGCGAGCGACACACTCGGGAATTCGCCTCGGTCGAGCGTTTCGGTCGTTCTTGCCAATCGTCGTCGAAACCGGAGAACCGGCTGCGCTGGAATAAATAATTTCACTCTTGGCTGCGAACGAAATTTATTCGACCGTAAAGCATCGTTTGCGTCGTTTTACCAACTCATTGTGTAAGATACGACAAATATACGCACACGGAGATGTTATCGCGGTAATATAGTGGTCGTTGAAAAAAGTGATTGAAAATCGCGTGTTATCAAAAATTCGCGTGGTAAAAGTCTAAAACGCTCTTATCCGAATGTGTGTACGCGCGTGTGTACACGCGATTCCACGGATCGGCTGTTAGATTAATATTTCACGTGATTAATAATTCAGCACGCTTCATTACAAGGTCTTTACGTAAGAGCGAGGTGCTAATATCGCTCGATAGACGCCGTTCTGATTCTCAGTCGGCGAAACTGTGTATTCGAAAGTTATTATTTAAGAGACAGGCGCGCGAAAGAGTGAAAAATTGGATGAACACACACACACACACAACCGTTTCGTTTTCTTACGAATTTCTCCCTTAAGAAGAGGCTCCCCCGTGGTGTAATTAGCGCGATTAATGTGTCGTGAAGCCGGCGCGTTGCCGGCGTCGTCTATCGCCGACTCTTCCTATTCCGTGCGAACGATTGTTCGTTAGAGAGACGGGAGAGCACACAATGTGAAAGACCGATGGGGGTTTCATATAAGAGATATTTTACGGTATGGCGCTTCCTACCTGTGCATACTGCAAATTTCACCGCGTACATTGCAACTTTATTGCTTCGAATTGCTCCGGATCTGTTACGTGTAAAACCGAGTTAAAGAGAGAGAGAAATTTTCAGGCCTGAATGTTATTTGTGTCATTTTTGATCAATTGCGATCTTACACGGACTTGGTTTATTATTTTCGCCGCGAAATTTTTATTGCAGAATAAACGGACGTCTATTGAAAGTAGACACTCTCGCAACGTGTCGTCGCGCGTCTCGTGCAAACGAGGTGTGACATACTTTTTACTTCTTGACGCATTCGGCCGCCGGTCTGATTATCTTACTACGAAAGCGATGGTCAAATTTCGTTTTGTCCCCGGGCGAAAAAAGCATCGCGAAGGCTTTCCAAAAGTTGTTGTTTGGTTCTTATCTTTCAAAAAATTGCTGCGTGTTTGTTTCTCAAATACATTCGCGCGAAGAGTGACGTTGCGTGTTCGTTAAAAAATATATTTGGAAAAAGTAATGAGAATCGTCATTTGTTAATTGTCGTCAATAGCAAAACGAACGTCTCGAAGAGACGATTAAATCTTTTAGCGGTAATCGTCATCAGATATCATAGCAACGCTCGAAAAGAAATTAATATTCCCTCATTAATTCGCGTAACATTTACCGAGCATTAAATTAAACTCACATACACACCGAATGAATAAATACACACGGAGGCTTTTTATTAATGATCCTTCGGCTTGATAACGATTAGCGGTAACTTATTGCGCATACCGTTATTCTTCGCTTGGCGAACGCCTACGCGCCAGAATTCTACATAATGTATGCATGTACGAACATTCTCCCGGGCTAATGTACCTTCTCCCGTACTGTTCTCTCAATTAATTTATCAATCCCCTTCACCGTGAATGCGATTATCTTCCGACGATTCGCGAAGAGTAGCCGACTATGCGAGACACCGAATATCGGGACGGTAAACCTGTTGGAAAGATTGAAATTTTTATTCACCTACGCAGAGAAACCGTTCACATATTTTTGCTTGAAGGATACTCGAATAATTAACTTAATCTCGCGAGGGATTAAAGTGGAGAAAACTTTTCTACCTGAACGTTTTTTTTTTTCATCGCAACAATAAAATCGTTCCAATCAATCATCGTGTTGCTTAAATGTGAATCCGCTCGAGATTTACGAGCGGATCGTGACGAAATTTCGCTCGATCTCTGTCGCGAATCACGCCGTATTGACCGTAAAGCTATCCGGGCGTTCGATTATGGCGAAGTCCGTTCGTTTATTTTTCCACCAGCGTATCGGGAGAAAGCCGACCGCCGCCGCCGCTGCCGCTCGCGCTCGCTCGCGACGACGGACATGGGCTATGTCGTAACGCCGCCGCCGCCGCCACCGCCACCGCCGCGCTGTGCAATATTGTTTATGAAAAAGATCCCGCAAAACGCGGCAGCACATCGGCACGTGCTGCTGCCGTATTGCCGCCATCGACGATCGCGTCCATCGGCGCCAAGAAAATGGGCCGACCGCGTGGTTATGAAACGTTTTTTTTTTAATTACGTAACGACGGAGGTTGATCGCGCGCTGCGAAAATTCTTGCGCGAATTGCGGTCTCGCCCGCCGTGGGTGTTCCGTTTGCACCGGGAACCATATGGATGCGCTTCGTTCGCTTGCGAATGATAAAAAAAAAAAAAGAATCTGCGCGGGCAAGAAAGAAGAGCGGCTGAAATATCGCGGCGACGCGATTTCTCTAATGATATAATTTGTTTTGTTGAAATTGAGCGTTTCGAGAGAGAGAGAAAGAGAGAGAGACCCGGTAAAAATACGTGTCGCGCAGTTTGGTCACAAGAAGCGAGGAGAGCGCGCTGGTATTTTAGTTTAGAAAAAGGGCGGGTCTCTCTCGTTAAGAAGAGCAAGGCGTGTCGCGCGCAAATTAAATTCACTTTCGAACGTATATACAATCGCCTCCGCGGAATCCGTCGATTGAAAGTGAACGTGGTGGACGCGTTAGGAGAGAACACGCGCTAGAACGAGACGACGAACTAAACATCGAGAGCAAAAGCGAAGGAAAAAGTGAAAGAGAGAGAAAGAGAAAGAGAGAATGGTTGATTGAGGTGTATATATCGTCGAGGTTACGGAAAATTCACTCCGGTTAATCGATAGGCGAAGTCGACGATTTGATACGAGGCGAATTCTCGATTTAGATAAACTCGCGATATTGAACGCAGCGATTTATTGCAAAACGCTATCGCGACTCGATTCTAGAGACACTCGAGAAACGTTCCGTGTTCTGTAAAGCCCTCGGCCAGGCCTGTGCAATAATTAACAAACTTTCTTAGAATATAAATAAGAAGCAAAAACTCCTCGTAAAATAATCGAACGATAAATCTCTGCGTGAGGTATGAAATAAAAACCAATTTATTGGCACTCGCAAATTCCGTCTGGTCATCGTGCTGATTAAACGACGATTTCAAATCGTCAGATAATTGTAGTTCGTTTTCAGGATCGCGGCCCTCGACGAGAAACGATCCTCTCTCGCGGTTTCACGCTAACGACGTGTGATTTGTTTCCTGCTTGATAAAACTGGAATAAATTACCGCAAAACCGACCGACGAAAGTGTGTTTGTTGTTGAATACGATTCGCTGGTGCGCACCAGCGTGCGTGCCCCCGTTGCGTGCGCGACGCTACATACGCGTCAGAGATGTGTGCGTCCGTCGTCACACGTGTGCGACGACGCTTCTTCAGACCGCGAACAAACTCTCTTCTCGCGATATTCTTCGACGGGCAGTGAGATTAGAAATTCGTGACTTCGCTGGAACTGAAATGCCGCTTGGCACGGGAAATTGCGCGAAAAGTTGCGCTGTGTTTTTTTTTTTTTAGGCGGAATTCCGTACGCTCGCGCGCGCGGGCGACCCTTTCGATTTCGCGCCTCCGATCGACTCTCGCGATCGAGTCGTTGCACGCGCGAATGGAAAGTCGGATGTGGCAAATTCGATGATAAAACCAGTTCGCTCTCGTTGTCATTGCTATCGAGATGCAAAAACGACCGCGCGAGCAGGAAGGCGCACAGGATGCGACAGGCAGCGAAAGTCCTGTCTTTATTGCGGCTCGGCGCGACTCGGTTTAACGCTCGCGCTCCCTTACTTTTGCAGGTTCTTTTCTCGACACAGTCGGATGGATCTTGCTCATCAGCTGCGCGTTATCTCTGTTTCTTAGAGAATAGCAAGCGTGTGCGTGCGCAAATGAAAAGAAGAAATGGAGTTTCACTTTTAACGCTAATAGATTTCTCGAAACTTTTTCTTCGAGCGTTATTGCGTGGGCCAATGTGCACGAACTGTCGCAAGCGAGAACAATGAGAATATTCTGGCCGCGAGCAAAGAGTAGGGAGGAACTGTCTAAATAAACACTGTGATTAGAGGCCTGTGGTGTTAGGCAATACAAAATTTCACTAAATTCGCCCGAAACGTCACGCGGCGCGTTTTTGCTGCTTTCTTTGCGTATATACGGCAAGACACGTAAAAATACACTGTAATTGCACGCTCTGAAAATTTAACAGAATCTATCGCGCCGATCGCGAAACACGCGTATGTGATTTCTCCAAAATGCACGTAAGAGATGGGAGAGAAGCGAGGTATCGCGTCGAGAGGGTGTGAAAAATTTATAATTTTGTTTCTATCACCGTTCAAACTTCTTCGATTATGCAGCTTTACACACGGGTGAGAGCGGGGAATGTGTGATTTACAGCGCGACGGTGCGGATGAAAAAAAAAAAAAAGATCAAACCTGTCTCTCTCGGCTCCGCTGGTTCTTCGCTAATCCCTCATGAAATCACCGTCCTCACATCGACTGGCACTTGAAAATAAAAATTAAAAAATTGCAAATCCACACGTAAGTGTATGTGATACTGTGCAATTAGAAAAGACGGACGAAAGCACCTTCGTGGAACTGAACTGACGTCGCGGTCCGGGAAATGCCCGTTTTTTTTTTTTTTTTTTTTTTTCAATGTTTCGCGCGGAACCACGGACAAGACGATTTTTCGGGTGCGGGGCGAGATCGCGGCGATCGGTCCGGCCAGAAGACTGCGCGATGGAAGTGGAAAAGCCACCAGCAGGAGCGTTGCGCTCCGACCACCATCGTCTGATGGAGAGCTTTCTACGACCGACGACAAGACAAGGAGAAGGGAGTCGAGCGGCGCATTGGCGTATTTCCGGACCCCGTTCGGACATTGGCGTAAAACCTCCTTGGTCGAGGGACTTAAGGCCCCGAGAGAAAGGCAGCGACAACGTAGGCACGTAGACGGACACCTGCGTCGCCACCTGACAGAACAAGACGCCCGTTCGCACAAACCCGTCCGGGGGTCCCCCGAAAGCGCTCGATATCGATATCGACGCGCGTAATGTCATACGTGATATTTGCGCCCTGCGCGAGATATCGATCTCCGATTCGGCCTCGCGAGCGATAGTTGATCAGGCATGCAATTACGACGATGTTCGTTTCGTCATACGCGATTGTACGATTTCAATTGTTACAATCCGTGGCAATGAGCGAATGGCGCGTTAAGAGTTATGGGCATTCGATTCTCCGCGTGAGATTTTTAGGTGGATGACGGCGTAGAAGTGGATGGAATGAGAATCGATGTGAATTTTTCTGACATTTGTAACGCGATCGATTTGACACCTGCTATTGTCATAAGATGATAGTTTAGTTTACACTATGGGAGGAGGGATCGATGATTCTTTCAAAGGTCTTTTCGACCGCCTTTGGAGGATTCGTTCGCGATCTCTTCGTCATCTGTCACCGTGACCGAACCCATCGCGCGAACACACCTCGACAGATACATTTGAAAGATCAATCAGGAAAGTCGGGTGAAAGTGGAACGTCGAGCGTTAATGTCTTGACAAAGGATGTCTGAAATAGAATCGTCGCAGGTGTCACGTACGTACGATAAGGATCCGCGCAAATCTTGGTGAAATGTAGGAAGCTGGTTTTCCTACACACGACACAGGCTCTTTCGTAATGAACGATCGCGAAGAGGTACACAGCGTGATGGTGTCATCCTCGCGTTTTTAATAAAATATCTCGCGCATCAAACGCAACACGTCACTCGCGTGATGTATGCGAAGGTTTTTCCTGCACGTGATAATTGCAACTATCGCGAACTGGTTGAAACAATTAACATACGGTTTTTTTTTATAGTGTGTCATTTCTTTTATTAGAGAACTTATATTTTGTTTCTTTTTTTTTTTTTTTTTTGACGCTTTCTTGACCACTCGAAAAGTCAATGAATCCTTTCTTCTTCTGTCACCGGCCACCAAGGACGCCGCTTCAACATTTCTCGTTTTCTCTGTTTTTCTCTTTTTGCTCGAATTGAGATTCAAGTTGTACTCACCCTCGATCTCGCGGGCTTTCTTCGCGCTCAAGGAAGGTCGAGCACGTGGAATCAGGTTCCGCATGTTTCTTTTTTTTTTTTTTTACATACTGGTCGTCGAAAAGCTGTCGTCCTTAATAATTTTTGTTTGACTTATTGAAAAATTTATGTATTTTCCATCGAAGTGTTTATTTTTTATTTTTATTGTTGCAACAAGTTTTGATACTTTTATAATTTTAAATTTTTTACGTTTACTATTTTATTATAGCAATGAAAGCTGTACGGCGACAATTTAACAAATGATTCAATACACGATGCTGTGAAATATTCGCCACGACATTTATGACGAAATAAAAAAATTCATGTCCGTCCTCGAAATTGCGAAAGAGATAAGGAGCTGTGCGACTGTTTCGCGTAACGAGACGCGCATGTAAAACACAAGTGTAAGTATTGCGTCCGTAAAAAAAAAAAGATAGACAAGTGAGGGTGGGGTCTGGTCAGTCACGACGAGTTCTCACTTTCTATTGTCCGATCATGCCAAGAAATTGTCTCGATGAGAAATTGATTCTTTACCTTCACACACATTCAACGCATCCTCGTTTGCAAAAACTTGGGCAGTTCCGCGATCGATTATCGGAGACAGATTGTTGATTTGCGCGTGTTTCTGGTTCAGGATTTCTTTGTAAGTGTATATATTTGAAATCAATCACTCTCATTTTTTTGAACGTTTTATACAAAATATGTAAAGTTAGGAACATAAAGTGGAATTACAATAATTTGCGAAAAACGGTGATGTTCGGTTTGCGGAAGAGCAACATAACAAAGAATGTCGATTTGTAATTCTTCTCCTCTCTCAATGCAATCTCTATTTTAGTTGTTAAGGATAAGGCAGATGTTCTCACTCTTCCTGCATCGGCAAGACAGAAATTCTTACTCTCAGTCCTACTTCGGATAATGTTAAGCTAGCTGGAGGAGGATTATGTTTGTGTATATGTAAAAAAAGAGTTTATTATTATACAGTTTGTTCAACTAATAGTAAAATATATAGGAGTCGCGTTAAATCTTGTTTCCATTCACGTCTCTGTAGAGCTCGTCATTGTTGCCGTAAAGTCTCGGTGAATCGTTGCAGTCGACCTTAAAAAAAAAAATAATTGAAAACATTGAAAATCAATACGAAATTAAAATCCTTTGTGTGACGTTTGAAAAAAAAAAAAAAAAAATACACATGTGCGCGCGTACCTTAAACCACCAGTCGCAAACGCGAGTTGTTTGACTGAAGACCGTGCCATTTGGACAGAGGAAACTGAACTGACGTCCATTTGGCAAGCACCAATGCCACACCTTGAATCGAACGTTAATTTTTAGCAAGTGTCAAATAAGATGAAACAAAAATTTTTTCTAATTTTCTTACAAGTTTTTTTCAAGTGTTTTTTAAAACCTTTGTATTCCAAATAAGGTTTTAAAAACATCACACGGGTGTAAAAAACCGAAACAATTTGCAAATTACATGTTGAAAGAATAATTCGCAACCAGTCTGTTGCTTTTTGCAACATGTGTATACATAAGATAGCTGATAGCAACGCATTTGAATAATCACGAGGAAACACATTTAAATAATCTCGAATAAATTAAAACGAGATCTATGCGCACGACGACCATATGGACGCACCTGACATCTGGCCTCGGGATCGGCGTAGTAACCAGGTAACTTGCCTCCGCAGGTAAAGGTGAGCCCGAACGGCACCGAGTTGTAAATTGGATAGTCCACGCCAGGTGTGTAGCCGTCCACTTGCTGCAACGTGAGAAATGATGATTATGCGTGCCATATACTCATCGTAGATAACCATCATTTTCCAACAGCTGTCATCAATCCGCGCGCAAATCGTTCTTCCCCCCCGGATCTTGCGCGGAATAAAGTCTCACTGTTTTTTGTATAAATACACACGCGGAGTTCAAAAGGAATCTCCGATTGCGTAATTACCTTGGACTGTACACTTGAGTCTCCGATCTGCATTGCAAATCTGGACGGTTGCATCGGAACAATTAGGGGAAAACGGCGAAACTTGCAGAAGCATAACCACGCGTGTAGCGCGCTGTGCCGTAATTGTTTCGGCGGAACAATAACAATATGTTTCGACACGTATCGTCTCGACAATAGTATGCGGCGCTCATAAGGATGCGCGCCCCGTAAATCGCGTTTCCTCCGTCTTTTTCTTGCACTCGCGCGGTAAGTCATTAAACCTTTTATAGCTAATTTAATTTCATTTTCAATCCACGTCAGTTATATTTTGCGCAAAAAGAAAAACCGGATTAATCACACACAAAATGAAATGTGAATTGCTTTTGTAATTGAACAAAAAATTTATTGCGAACATCTTCAAATTGTGTGACACTTTCGAAACGGAATAAAAAAATGCTCCGTGACACGAGAAGCAGCAATTCTTTTTTTTTAACACAATACGTTTTATATATATATTAATAAAAAACCATTTGAAGATGTTGTGTCAATCCGCGTCTATGTGTTCATTCAGAGCTAAAACAAGGAGGGCCCGTAATGCCAGGATCTTTTTCGCAATTGACTATCAGTCAAAATGGGGGAGAAATAAAGAAGCGGTTGCGACACGACGCGCGTCGGGTCGAAACCGTTCGGTGCGTGCACGTGCCAATGTCTGACCGGAAGTCGGGTTACATTGTTCCTCCCGAGCGGATGCGCATCTCTCCGTGGCTTTGTGCGCGATCTCTTGTTTACGATTTCACGTGTATATATACGTGTATGTACGTATGCAGATGCGCCCGATCCGCATTTCCCCCTCCCGATCGCGCCGAATCCGACTGGTGATTTTAACGCCCGGCGAGAAAGCGGCGTCGGAAAAGCGATATTTATCAGCTGTGTGTTTTGACACTTACAGAGAGAATGACGTGCGTAGACACTATTTGCACACATGAACGGTGATATGTATTTGACAAATTAAGCAAGAGTAATAATTTATATAATTGCGCGTGTGTTACACATAAGACGTAAGAAATAGTAAAGTGATATGAAAATGGTGAACGATATTGCAATGAAATTTTATCAAATTTCGAACACCACAAATAAACAATTGAAATGTCGTTGCAGAACGATGGTGAAAGGGTGTATTACAGCCGTGCGTGGAAGCGGGATAGTGCAAGCGTTGCATAAATTAATTGACTGTCTTATCTTTCCGTTTGTTAGTTTTGCGGCATTGAAGCTGCGGTTGTATATTTCTCATTCTTTATCCCCGATTTTCATCGGTTTCACGGCCATTGTTTCCGGTGAAAATGTCTTCTAATTGGTAATTGCAAGATCCGACGAATATGTCTATGTCGCGTTTTCGTTAAAATTTAATTTAAAAAAAAACTCACGCCATTGTTGATATAAACTACAAATTTAAAAAAAAACTTTAATTAAAAATTAAATCAAACTTAAAAAGTTTAAATTAAACTATAAACCAATTCTGAATGTTTTCAAATGATAAGAAAAATGTTATTTAATTAACGATGCGCAATCTTTCTTATCTTTCAAAATTGATTTTGACATTGTGACGCTATCTCCGAGCGTTCGTGAAAACACGATGGAAATATTCATGAGTTGCGCTTAGAACTTTTAGTTGACTTCACATAATGCGAGAGGCGCTTCTCGCACACGCAGGCGAAAGCATGCGCGTTCGCGTAACACCGGGTTAATTAATGAATTACTTAATATTACCACCTGAAGAGGAAGATGATGCGTGCAGATACACTCAGTGTTATTGTTACGCGATACACCGTGGGAAGCTGCGATGAAAATAATAATTTTGTGCTTTACTTCATCGCTACGAGTTTTGTAAAAATGTGGAGCAACATTTTACGAAATATAACACATTTTCCATCACAACCTTCGCGCACATTGCGTAATCCATCGAATAAAGATACGAAAGTCTTTGCAAAATCTGTGTTGCGACTTGTTGTTGTTATTTGTGAGTTTTGTGAAAATGACGTGCAGAAACACTACAAACAATTGTCACTTGTAATCTTGACTTACCGCCATTGTTTGATAAAGCAAAACCGCGCCGAAAAGAAAAAGGGCGCAGAGGACTTGATACCTCGAAATCATCTAAAATTGTGAAATTTAAGCAATTCAATTATTTTTTATCTAACAAGTAAACAAAAGTTTCTATTTTACCAAATATTTTCACACGAGAAAGATGTATTATTTTATACATGAAAAAAAGTCAAACTAAAGTATTTTATTGAAATTTCTTATTTAGAAGAACGTATTTTAGTGTAAATCGCAATTTTTTTTTAGAGAAGAAGATTAAGATAAAATGAACTAAAAAGAGAAACTGAAGGAGCAGCGTGCCTTACCTTTTTTGAAAATCTGGACCCCTTAGTCTGCAGTATCGTGCTGCGTGGTGATCATTTATCTTGTCGTGTTCTCTGGTCTATTTATTTTCGCGCGGCGGACCACACTTGAAAAAATTGGCGATTTACTGAGATCTACTCTTTGGGTTAACCAGAAGACGACGTTACTCCCAAAGTTTCTTTCTCAAAGGATTGTTCCACGAGGTGGTGGTATATATATGGCTTTAGACATCGGGCCGAGAAAAAGGGGGGACTCTTGAGAGTCTCTCTTTCTTGGGGCTCCCACATCAGACGAACGGAGAAAGAGAAGATCCCAGAGCGGTCGAGGAAGGGATGTTCTTCTGTGGTGCAGCAGAGATTCCTCTTTTACGCAATCGTCTCGTGGTCTAACACCCGTGAAAATATTCGTAACCGCCATACTTCAGGCATTGTGACGTGCTCTTCTTTTTGTCTCTCTTTCTCTTGTCGAGAACTGAAGAAAGTACGGGCGAGCAATTACGATCGCTCTTTATTTTTTTTCACACATCCGAATTGTCTGCGCGCAGATCTGCTAAACTTCCATTTCCACTTTTGCAATCCGAACAGAAAGAGAGAGAGAGAGAGAGAGAGAGAGAGAGAGAGAGAGAGATGTTTATCTTGGGATATAAAAATAATTAATCGGGAGACTTTCGCATAATAATTCTGAGAACACTCGATAAAATAAATTCATTCGATCAAGATACGTTCGATGAATTAATTAATTACTTTTTCTTACTAGAAGTCACATCATGCGCGTCTGATCATTCCGATCGAATTGCAAACAAGCGAGAAAAATTTAGTTTAGAATAAATTTAACAAATTCAACAATTCGCACATAGATTTGATATCTCGTGTCTCGCGAGAAAATTTGCAATTTCCTATTCGCGTCTCTTGTCCGAACGAGAGAAAACAACATGGTTTTCTTTTCCTATCGTAATCAAGATAATATATTCAAATCTCGTTTTTTCTAATCTGTGCGATACGTCGAGAATCGGCGGGAAATATGATTGACGTATCAGTTTGTTACATAAACAATCGAATATCCTTTGGAATGAAACTTGCGCGATCGTATCGGTAATTATTGTTTTGTGTGTCTGCGCTCAAGGATTGAGATCGTCTTTCCGATCAGATATCTCTCAGTTTTTTTTTTTTTTTTTTAAAGATTTTTCCGCAAAAACGGAAACGCTCGTCAACAGGGCGGACCCCGAAATGATTCGTTCCTTATCGCGCAGGATAGATCCAAGGCTGTGCTGTCGCTCAATTCTCATGGCTGTTCATCAAATCGCAATAATCCAACGAATACGAATCTACGCAATCTTTTTTTATTGCTCTTTGAAATATTCTTACGATATCGCACAACAAAGGGACGCGACACACAATTCTCTTATTTTGGTAACTAATCTTTCACCCTGCGAATGAGAGAGACACACGCGCGCGCGCTCGCTAACGCGATCTTTCAGCAGCTACGTCGTTGCGCGCGTAAATTAACGCGATCTATCGCAACGTCGCGATTGCGCAATGCACAAAAGAGAAGACATCGCAAAGTTTCTAAAGTCGTTTTCGATGGAACGAAATAGCGTGTCTTTTTGTTTTTGTTTCTGTGGGACAGCGATGACATTTGCGATGACGAGCCTTGATGCCTCAATTCTGATATACACACGTCCGAGATGTTTCAGAAAACACATATCCTCGATAACGCGGTCAAAGATACGACCTTGAGATTAGGAATTGAGAACAGAATTAAGAACCGCGAAATCCCGCATCGTGCCCGCGATTGAGTCGTTCATTTGCATTCTTTGTTGCGTCTTCCGCTCCGTGCCCCTTAATTTTGAAACACGCCTCGTGCCACTTAGCGATGCGTAATTGGCGTCTTGGCAAGCTTTTTCAGATTGACGTGCAAACTCGAGAGAACCTAACGTCCGGTTACAAATTGTCGATAACTGCGTCATTTTTTCGCTTTTAGACAAAAACAATCTTAGATATTAAATTTCAATTAAAATTTTCGGTCAATCTTCTTTCGTAATTTGTTTTAGATAACAAGTTGTGTGTTAGTTGTGCAATGCGTACACAAACACACAAACACTTTGTTATTTTTATATTATAAAATTATTGCGATGACGAGTGATACATTTCAAGAACAGGAAACAAACTCCAGGAGAGCGCGCGCATCCCTTTGCTTTTTACGGCCGATTTCGCACGGATCGTTGTTGCGGCGAACATTGCGTGCGCACATACCGAGTGCCACCGGGAGCGCGGACCGTGTTGTTCTTAATTAAATTATCTGTCTGCTCGTTAATTAGATATCGGAGCGATTGCAAAATACACGTAACAGCGTGGGAAAGGTCTGTTTATTACTTTTGCGAGATGCGCGAAGCGAAACCAACGCTTGGAAAAATGCCGACGAGCCGTGTCGCTCGGCGAGGAAATGTCTCTCGCTGAATAACCCGTTATTAAGCGCATTTACGTTAGAAAATAAATGTTCCCGATTCGAGAAATCGTTGAATTTGCGTTTAAAAAAAAACGCAAGTCTCTCAAACAATTGTGAAACCAAAAATGAAATCCACTGTTTGCCTTTTTCTACTTCGATAAATATTTTCAATCAAAATTTGTCATGCGCATCAATTTCCGCGAGGAATCCTTCGTGTTCATAAAGTAATTTACATTTGCTCGAAACGCCATTCCCAAGTACAGATACATAAAGCGATGGTCTTCGAAGAAATACTTCTCGCAGCATCTTCGCACGACTTGTTGCGCGCGCTTCACTCACCCGATATAAGCCCCGCGCAATTTCATAACTAGTTGACTTCCGAGCTTCTTTCCTGTCGCCGAATGCCAACAAAGAGACATGAAAGTGATTCTCACGTTTTTACCGCTCGCCTGGCGTCAAATAATTCATCGCGAGCCGAGCGGCGATAGTTTCAAGAGAAAAATTCGCTTCTAGAAAGAGAGAGAGAGACTCCTTTAATATATTTATCGATCAGCAATTATAATCCAGTGACATAACAAACATCTATCCGCGTGTTACAACACACACGTCGTTATTTGTTATTTTAAGCCCAGGAAAATAAATCCGCACGTCAGGATGCATTGTTTTCAGCGATGTGGGCGGGTGATGCACGTCGTCTTCTCATATTTTTAATTAACACGTAAACGTTTACCTGTTAATTACAAGTTCTTGCGTGCGTTCGCTTCATTACGTCATATTACGCAACGCGATTGTGATTAATACGTCCGCGTAAAAAAAAAAAAAAACGGAGACGTAGAGAAAGAGAGAATGAGATGCTCGGTCGAATTACCAAAAAATTACGGCAATATTTTTTTTTTAGAAACATTAAAGTTTCTCGGCGATTAAAATTTCCAGCGCACGTTGTTGCACAACGTTCCGTTTCTGTCGCAGAAATTTTATTGTGTGTTTTAACTTACATAAGTAGCAAAATACGGTGTAAAGATCATAATGGAGACCGAAATGTCGGAAATCGCTCTATGCTCCGCAACGGCGCTAATAATGACCGTCGCGTGGTTATTGCTAAATTTTCATATTGAAGGCGCGCGAAAACATCGAGAGATTTTTTTAATTAATAAATTATCAGCAGCTGTATAATTATTATGCGCGACCATTTAGTTAAGCGTACTAATTATTCTACAGTTTAATTGTGTTCTGTAATAAATACTCGCTGAACTCTCCGCGGCGGCCTCAATTTCAAAATCTCTGTGTCGCGCAAAATCTCTGTGTAATCAATCTCTGCGGCAACAAGAGACGCACCTTATCACCGCAGAGGTTTATTGCAGGTGTAGCGGCCGACAGAAACGTGTGTGTGTGTGTGTGTATGACGTGTACATACGCGCGTGTCGCACTTCTCGTTCCGTTTTATCAGTTCGCGCGGCCACGAACGGGCGAACGGGCGAACGAACGGCAACGCGGCGCGCGTTGTCCCACATTTTCAGTCGCACACACACGACAGCGCATACCGCAGGTGCCTGTCAATCGGACTCTCCTAGAAAATATTTCGCGACGAGAGAGAGAGAGATTCGCGGGACCAGAACCGCGACGAGTCTCGTTGCACGCGGATGCGCCGCGTGTCGCGCGCGATGTTTCCGGAAGCGAGGGCTTTTTCACCGGCCGCACGCCGCAGGTGCGTCGAACGGTAAGATCGAGCGAGCTCCGGCTTGACGATCGCACCTGGGCGGGGTGCGCGCGATCGAATTCCATTCCTCGATTTGGGAAAAACGGGAAGTGTGCGTGTTCTCGTTGCATTTCGTCATGTCAACCACCTCTAGACGTGGACAAGTGAAGGTAAACGATCGCGCGAAACTGACCTGTTTGACACTCGTCGCATCCGGATTTGTATTTGTTTGTTTTGGCGGAGAAACATGATACGGAGATTATGGAATTTCTCACGCGGCAAGATCGATCGATTGATCGATCGATCGAACGAACGGATTTCGTGCGTTCGCATTGTGATTTTTTTCAATCTCGGTAGAGTATCCGTTGTGTTTCGTCGCGCGTTGCGATTTGTTGCAGCCGATATTCATCGCCGTGAGTCCGGCGGCAATCATTATAATTAGCATGCGGCTATTGTTTAAATTAACGATCGATGGCGTCTTGGCCGTCGTAAATTCCTCGCCCGATAGTTTCGCCGCTCGTCTTGTCCGTCCTGGCGCAATCGCACGCATCCCTGCGCATCTTCCATCGTAGTACAATAAGTCGCTTTACGACGAATAATCGCGCGCAATGTGCCCGCGTCGTATATTAATTAACAATGATTGACGGCCGCGTACAAAATTTGCGCGACACCTGCTGGTTTCTTATCGCGCGAGTCTGGTCGCGCAATCGCGAGATATGATAAAGCGACGTCCTGATAACCGCGGCGGTTGTTTGTAATGGAAAATAACAAACGTACGAGAAACGTAAAATAATAATCGTTCGACCGGTGTGATTCATAAGTATAAATTGTTCATTACAAAGTCGGAGAAACAGATTGTATCAGAACTTGTTACCGCAGAAATACATTCTTGTATATCTCCGTTTTAATATTCCGCTTTACGGAGAACCGATTGTTTTATTCGCTGTGTCCTCTGGAACCCGGAACAAAAACACACGTGTACGTGAAAAAACGAATATGGAGAAGAGTTAAAAAATCGATGACTCTGCCGTAAAAAACAAACGTTTCGTTTTACTCGGTTCTTCTCGGTTAAAGTTCGTATCTTTGCGTTTAACAATCGATTTTACTGATGCGCGCGATTGTTGATTTTTCCTCGTCGAATTTGATTTCCGCAGCTCGCCGTTCAAATTCCGTGAGGTCGGAATATACACGACACGCATCGTTAGAACTCCTTCGTGACACGGCTGTAATAGCTTCCGGTCAGACATTCAACGGCGCTCGCTTCCGGTTCCCACCCTTCCGCGCGAGCCACGAGACAGAGAGAGATAGAGAGAGAGAAAGAGAAAACGAAAAGGGGAATTAGTTGATTTCGCGCTGTCAGATATAGTCGCGGATCGCATAACGTCGTAAATTACGCCGGCGTTGGCGGTTTCTTTTTTTTCTTCTGGTCGCGCAAATATACCGATCATGAAATGCGCTTATTGTTGTATTCGATGCGCGCGATCGCTCGCTACGTTAAAATGTTTTTCACGTTTTCTAGCAGAGTCTTCTTTTATATTACGTAAGAGGCTGCGATTCTCTGCGAGACGTCTAGGCTGGTATAACGGCGATCCGCACAAAACCGTAATAACGAGCATAGCGATACTATTTCATCTGCTACCGTTATCAAATCTTAAAACCTTCTTCTCGTTCGCGTCGATCCCGCGACGTTCAAATGCATACTAATTGATTATCGGAAATCGCTTCTAATTTCCCGATGCTAACGTACGTAGCGTGTAAGGAAGCTGGTTTGATCCTTCTCTTTCTCTCTCTTTCTCTTTTGCGTAAGTACATCGGCGGAGATGCTCGCGTTCCTGAAAAATCCGGTTTTGCCAGACACCCGTTGTGTGGATTGCTCACATTGTCAGTTCTGCTATTGTACGCGGGTGTAACTCGACGACAGGTGTACGCGACTGTACACACGGTGTTCCGTAAAAAGAGCATTGTTTTCGCGCATTGTTTTCTCTCTCGTGCTAATCTTGCAACTGTGTTTTCTTGTTAATAAACACGCGATGCAAATAATAATTGTGAGACACGATATTTACTTGAATAAAAAGATTTTCATTGTAATAAATTTATTTTCAGCTGACTTGCCGATAGCTTGATCATAAATTACGTTAAAAAAATGTTTTGTGTGTGTGTTAACTTCTATTTGCGCTAACACAAAGGCAATTCGTGCCAATTTTAGACTCGATGTCAAGTCTTTGTTTTCGCTGTCACGTGTGAAACTTTTATTGCGCCGTTCCGAAATAAACGACGCGCGAACGCGCGTCGTCGCAAGCGCGCGAAGCCCAAACAGAAACACACCGCACCTGTAACGGAATACATTAATGAATCCTTCCTCATCTGACTATCGGTCACCTGACTCATTTCCTGTGGGCTGAAAAAGCCCCCCACAGGCACGTTTCAAATGGTCGATACAATTGTGTCCGGCGCATCCGTCGCCGTAATCACAGACGTGAACAAAAACCCCGTCATTGTCGCTACGCGGTCGCAGAGAACAGCGAAAGTTAAAAGTGAATGTTTGTTGGATTTGCGTTCGAGTGTGCGATATTTGCAAACGTCGGTGTCAAAAAATTGCGCGACTGTAAATTCAACATCAGAAAGATACGCGCGATAATCATCGACGACTTGGAGTGACGTGTAGTCGAGACGCACTTTGATCGAATCGGTCACAATGTAAAGAACAAGGTACTTCGCGTAACCACACACAATTGCATTATAAATAGCACAAATATGTAATTCGATGCGGTACGGTGAAAGAAGGGAAGAGAGAAAAAAAAGCTTGAAACCAGTCCGGTGCAAGGTGCAACACGTGCTGCCCGACAGCTGTTTTCCGGTTCGAGTTTGGACGTTATGCCCATTTTTAATTTCGCGCCCGGGCGCATTCTCAAATAATAATAATTACCGCGTGTGACACACATACACACACACACATACGCGGAGAACTCCCTTGTCAGTTGCAAAGTTAGCGAGTAATTCATCGCAAACGGTTTATTCACGTATGGAGATTCGCATTCCGAGAAACGCGCGGGAGGAAGTAGATCATCATAGGAATTACGCTGACGTCTCGTTTCGTATTTTGCTCCGTTCAGCTCTCTCCGAACTACACCGCGTAATTCTGATCAACGTTGTTTGCGGGTAACATTTATTATGTGTTATTTCCAGCCAATGAGAAACGAGAGAACAAACTGAGGAAAACCGAAGGAAGCGGCTCATTTTCACGTTAACGAGATCGATTTAGCTATCATGGAGGACTTTGGTTTCACGAGAAGGGCCGACAATGTTCTGAACAAGATCCTCGCTGTTAACAACGAACAAACCCACGAGAGAGTTCGCGAGCAGCGAGGATCTTCTTCGACTAAGGTTGGTTTTCGATGTTTACGCAGAAAGAAGTTTTACGTACGATGATAAAAAGATATCCCCAGCTTGAATTGTACAATCTAGTTAAGTTATTAGGAAGTATCGAACAATGTTTAAAACAGGCAAAGTTCAGGATGCGAAAATCGTCGAGGATATCTCGTAGTAACTTGTAAAAAAATATAAAATATTTGAAATTTAAATGGATGTTCACTCCGTGGAAATACGAAAGAAGAAATTGACGAGCTGTCTACAGCTTGATAAAATGCTATTAGACATCGGAAGTCGTTGGTGGTGGTGGTGGATCAACGACTCCAGCGCCTCCGACCGCAGCCGGAAGCGACGGCCGTGAACGCGCGTCAACCGCCGGCGGCTCAGTCGTGTCCAACACGCCGATCATACCGAACGTGGTGGAGTATCATCTCAAAGTCAAGCCTAGTCCACGAAACAGCCGACCCGACAACGTTCCCGTGAGTAATTCTCAAGATTTTCAAAACATAAACTAGAAGAAACTTATGAAATCACGGATTGACATTAATTAACGTTGTTCATTTGCATTGGAATATTTGTTGAAAGATTTTACCGTTGTGAGTTATTTTGTGACCTCCTTAATTTCTGGTACTGTTTGTTTTTCATTTGAGTTGACCAATGTTCGAAATTTTCTTTGGTGGAAACTTGTAATCGCGTTAGACGCGCGAATAGTCGCGCTTTTTTGATTGTTCAAAAATCGATGCGGAACAAATTACGTTAGCGATTTGTAAATAAATAAATGCAAAACAGAGAGACCAGCCTCTGGAAGACATGAAGAAGGAGAAGAATCTGGTACCCGCGGATGATAAGAAGAAAGATCTCGTGACGAAGCTGTCGCGTCTGTCCATCGACAATAACGTGTTCGAGGGTTCCACCGATTTACCTCAGGTGTTTCAGGTATGGTTTTAAAAGGAAAGCCTTGTAAAATCCCAAAGTTCTTGAGCGCTAATATTTACTTTACACATACCTGCTTATATAGAGTCGGAACTTAATCGTATCGCAATACGTTTGGTTTTACCTGTTCTCGCGAGAGAGAACGATATGAGATCACATTGTCGTTCAAAAACACATTTGTTTAATAAAAATTATCTGAAAATTGTTAATTAAAAATTGTATTTAAAATAATCTATATCGACTATTTACATTTCCAATTAATTTTTAAATAAAGTCGTTTTCAAAAAGTAAAAAGGTTTTAGAGACAGACGATGGGGCAGAGTTAAGATTTTAAAGTCCTGATTATTAGGAACTGTATTGTCCTTGGGCGGTCCGTTGGGCCTTTCGGAGATTTAAAACGGGCCGTCTTTCACAGGTGAAGTACCTGGGATCCCACGATGCGAGAGGCCTCTGGGGCATCAAGCACACGAGAAGACCCGTCGATAACATGGTGTCTGCCGCAAAGGCTTTGCCGACCAACACGATGCTTCCTCTGATCAAGCTGGTGGTCTCTCAAGAAGGAGTCGCTCTATTATCGCTGGACAAAAAGAAGCAAGACTTGTCCAGAATGTATCCTATCGAGACGATCTCTTACGGGGTGCAGGATCTTGTTTACACCAGAGTCTTTTCCATGATAGTCGTTCGCGAGACGGAAAATTTCAGAAGAATCTCGCCGTTCGAGTGTCACGGTTTCGTTTGCGAGTCGAAATATTACGCGAGGCAACTGACGTACGCTCTCGCCGCGGCGTTTGAAATTTATTCCAAAACCGTGAAGGCGCAGGAGAAACTGGCCGAGACCGCGAAATGTAACAAGAAGAGATTTGCGATCGATTTGAGAAGTCCCGAAGAGATCGAGGCGGATCTCACGATGGATTCCGAAGCGTAGTTTTTGGATTCTTGTTCGATATTTTATTAGACTAAGCTGTAAATATACATAGTGCACGTGAGAAAAATTTTAAGAACGTTTTTTTAACTTTTAAAAAGAAAAAAAATATTTTTGACACATAGAGCTCTTTTACGAGAAATTTATTTTATGAAACACAAGTTCTTGTTTTGCGCGGTTGCGCATCTTTTTGAGAAAAAAATATTTTAAAAAAGGACGATACAGGGTACAAAGTGTGGGACTAGCTTTCCGGAAGAGTATTATCACATTTTTATCATTTTTATCATATAAATATTATTTATATTTAATTTTTATGCAAGATTATTATTTCTATATTCTTTTAAATACCGTGTGATTTCCGTGAAAAACCTGTACATATATTTATTTAAACTCGAGTTTAAATAGAAAATAAATAATATATTTCTTATAAAGTAAAATATTAATTATCTTAATGTCACGGAAAAATATTCAGAATATATTTTTAATTAAATTTTGAAAAAGATTTAGTATAATATATTTAATTACAACAAATTTCAGGTATTTAATTATTAATACGTGTGTGCATACAAATAGAAAAAATTTAATAGGTAAGTTTATGTACATATTTGCAGATAAAAAAAATCGAAATTACTTATAATAGATACTCGTAAATAGTACATAGAGTCAGTATATATTTTTATATTATAATATATTCTCTATTATGAAATTTTTAATCACTTATGTAACATAAAAATCGCATTTACACATACGTCTTGTTACGGATTGATGACACAATCCAAAAACAAAATATTTTTATCATCAGAGTGTTATTTCTAATAATGGATATGAGTGTTTTGACATAATTGTTGCTTGTTTTTTATTACTTGTATCGGCATTGCGCGAAGACGGGATAGGCTTCGCCTATCCGAGACATCATATATGGCTAGCTATCCAAAGATATCGAATAGAACGCATGATTAAACGCGTGAGTTGTTGGACGATGCTACGAGCGTCGCGACGCGACTTGTGCGATTTCATGAAAATTTGTATGACGAATCGAACGATGATTTTGGATTTACTTCTAGCCGGTTTACGTGTGCGTGTGCGTGTGTTTCTTTAGTTTAAGTCATTTCACGAGAACTACATTGTAATATCAGTAATGAAAAGAAAGTATTCGGAGATTCTATCGATTATATATCGATTCGAAGATTTTGTCTTTAGGGTGGCTCTTATTCATTTCTGATGTAAAATTTTTTTTCAAAATAAGAGCCACTCTATTTTGTCTCGATACTCTTAATGCAATTTTATAATATCTTATATACATATATAGTTTTTAAATATTTTTTCTCTATATGTAAGTGTTACAAAGGACCAATATCAACACATATCAATCGGTTATAAGAACATAGTGTCGCCAACGACACTATTTTATTATATGTTGTACATATATATATATATATGTTATTTTGTAAATTTTATATAATCTTTTTTCATTCTTTTATTCACTTTCGCATTGCGCTTGCGACATCATCGCGTCACTTTTACGCAGCTTAGGCTTGGGACATTCGTGTAACGTTCTTCTTATTACTTTATACTGCGAGTATCAGGTGAATATATTTGGCCTGTATACTCTTAGCAATATTTACTTCAACGTAAAAAACTTTACTTCGACATTAGTAATCTTAGCGTCTTTTTTGTTTCTCTATTCTCTTTGTGTGCTACAAATATATGTACAAATGCAGGAAGATAAAAATATTTGCAATGGTTCAACGACATCTTTTATTTTATTCCTTGAATAATTACATAAGAGACATAATTGTTCGATATATACTTTTTTTGCGCACGATTATGCAATATGCGATATTTAATTTTTATCTACTCGCGATCATCTTAAACATTAAATGAGCATTTAGTCAACTTCGATTGTGGCAAGTTAAATTTGTTTTTTTATTTAAATCGCGATTGTGCTGGCCAGCTATAATCACGATCATTTTGTAGGACAGTGTGTTTTCTTCAAACAATTTGAGAAAAAGTATATCTTCCCTTAGAGAGAACGTTGAAACGATCTTTCCCGATCCGTTAGTCTCAAATTTCTCGGAGGTTTCTTCGAGATCGTTTCCACTTCAGATACAGAAATCTTTGTGGAGTTTTGCTTCCCTCGATCCTGATCCGCCTCCTCCTCTTCCTCCACTTCTTTTCCGATCTCTTCGTTCAACGCGTAATATTTTTCCGACTCCTCGCAAGGTATCGAGCTTTCTGTTTGCGTGCACACAAATGTTGCCTACAAATAGAAATTGTTTTATGATTCAAATACGATTGATTAATTTTTTGGAGAATTTAAATCAAAAGTTAAATATCTTTTGATTGATTACCTGATTGAAAACTGTCTCAGCGGGGCAGATGAAGCTCCATCTGATCGAGCTTCTCGTTTGGGGCATGCACACGTGAAATAGTTGACAGTCGTTGTCCATGTCGGCGTAATATCCATAGATTCTGTCCTGGCACGAGAACGTGTCGACGATGTTATCGCGGATGAGCGTCGCGTTGTCGGGAAGCAGCAAGCCGCCAGTTTTGTTATGCTGAAAAAAAAAAATCAATTGCGAACTTCCGCGTTATGACAAATCCACGTTCGGATTTCGAAGAATTTGCGACATAAAGCAGAAATTGCTGCTGCAAAAAAACCTTAAACACCGGGACGGGTCTCTTGGTCTTCGACTGCTGCGGCAAGCTCAGAGCGATCGCAACGAAACCGAGAAGCACCACGGCGAAGAGCTTCTCCCACACCATGATTGATCTTGATGCGCCGCAAAAAAAGTACGTGTCTTCTGTAACGAAGCGAGCACGTGCGATTTTCGTCGATCGATTCGTTGTCGTTTTGTCACCGCGATTCTCGACAAATGAGATACCGTGTTCGAGAGCTCTGTGTTCGGGAATCTTGGAAAGACTGATGATGTGGTCCGCAGAAGGGTGTTATATAGCGAACTGCGCGTGTAAGGATCTTGAATATTGTATGAATGGCCGATTCTCGCGGTACGCTGAAATCAGTAAGTACATCACGTTTGGTCTGCCAATGACCATCGTCAGACGTCCACATCATCCTCGAAGGCCCGATGCAAATGCTTACGGCTTGATAATATACTCATTTGGCGATTTTTATGTGTTTCACTCTCGGAAAGCGCCGTAAGAAGAAGCGCCGCGGAAAGAAGCTTCTGAATGCATATCATCGTCTTGTGTCGTTGGCGATTCTATTTACGTAGACGCGAAGTATGCGAAAAAACGGTTTTTTTTTTAATTCAATGATTTCACAGTTACTTGTTGTTGATCTGCTGGTGTAACTTAAATTAAAGCACAATTGCGCGAGAATTAAAATATCGAGTGACATTGCGGATATTTATCTTCGCGGATTTCCGCGTTCTTGAACTCGCGACATTTTGGGACTTTGCAAGCGATACAACGCATACAAAACAATTTGTGCTTCTCGAAACAATGTAGTTTGCAAAAGCTTTAAAATACACATTGATAATCTAGTGAGACATTAACAGTCAGAGATGCGTCCTTCTATAGAGAAAGGATAATTTCTAAAAAGAAGCGCGCTGAATCGTCTATGAGGGTCCTCAAGAGATGACATGCAACACCCGAAGGCCAGATATCAATTACACGCGATGGGAATAAATGTGCCGAAACGCACCGAAATTCTTACGTGACCAATTTCTTTTACGATTTAAATCTTCGCTTTTGGATCGTAACTCTTTCGCATCGCACACATCTCTTGTGTCTTACACGTTTACTCATGTCGCTCGTATAACGCGACACGCTAATCTCATTCTCAGAGATTGGCCAAGTTCCAAAGTAAAAAAAAAAACGTCAAAAAATGGGGGGCAGACGCGCAACTTCGGCCGTCGAAATTCGAGGGCAGCCCCGAACAAACCTTATCTTCGTTAAGGTCGGCATTTCGTCGGGATAAGAATACTTAATGATTTTTACTGTGCTATACGTGCGAGTAAACGATTACGAAATCGCACTTGTTTCTGATGATACTTCATAAAATATGTCATAAATTATATAAGATATATTCTATATATATATAATATATATATATAAATATGTAATATATTAAATATATATATTTTATAAACATAATATATTCTATACATATATTCTGTATATATGTATATGTATTTGTACTTTCTGTAGATCACTTAATATGTGTGCCACAGTTTTTAACCACACCAGATCTGCAAAATATTTAAAAAAATGTATTTGTCAATAAATGCAAAAAAGATAATATAAGAAAACGTTCAAAAAACTAAATTTCCCACACGATATAATTTCTTTTTATCTGTGACTTGTTTTAATAATTAAATTAGCGTGTGGTTTACTTTATTTTTTAAATTTTCATAAAAATAACATACTGTTATTTACTGTTTATAATTTAAAAAAAAAAATTGTAGAGAAATATATGTTTTTTTAGAAGATGCGCGATTGTCGGTGCACTGATGGCGCCACACAATCGCTGCATATCTCGTCTGCTTATCGTTGAATTGACCAGTAACAAGGTGAACACCCTGATCGCCGTTCTTTGAGGATTCCAGTCACATTGTCCGTCTCGCTATGACAAAGAATACAAAGATTTCGGGACGGTCTATCGTTGAAGAAGGTTGTACGACTCAGAAACCCACGTCGAATTTTCTCTCTGCTGGGACATGAGTTTTCATCTCTGCTTCTTGCTGTCGTAATGTCTTTGCTAAAATGATTCTTTGATTTTTTTTTTATCGTGTTTCGAGGTTTTTTGCTATTTGTTCTCGTCAATTGAAAGTATTGATCATATTCAAAATTATTTTTCATAAATAAATACAATAAATAGAATACAGTGTTAAAAAAAAATTTAGACAATATATTACATACTCGTATAGTTTATTATGAAAAATTTTAGTACACGTACGTGCTTCTGTAGAAAATGCTGAGTCGGTATTACAAATTGTTATCGTTGTATAAAGAATGTTTCGCGGGGAGATACAGTAATTTTGTATTATTATTACGTCACATGGTAAACATTCACACAAGTGACATTACACTTAAACCTATCTGCGTTTATGAGTCTGTGAGTCACGATACGAGTAGTATAGCATGTTCTACAATAGCTTGATCTTGTACAACAATTCTTCGCGTGGCGAGCTAGAACAGGTACTCGTAAGTAACTTTGGTATAACTTAAACTAGAAATATATATATATATATATACTCTATTTTTCATATATGCAATAAATTACTTTTACAATATATTCAAAGAACACGTTGGCGCACGATGCGATAAATTATATAAATAAGTACACAACATAAATATCGACGATGTATTTCAAAAAATAATATTCTGCGGCTCCCTTTCAGACTAAATTCTACAATAAATAAAACCTGCAATTGTTTGACTTGCGTGTTTGATTTGTCTTTGAATTTCTTCGCAAAGTCGTTTTACCGTCTTCTCCGGGTATGAGAAACTCGCGCGCGATTGTCTCGTTATCATTGCGCGGGCACGTAAGCGCGATAAGCGATTTCCTGAGGCGTCTCGTTCGACGATCTTCCCCAACCGTGATCGTGATCGTCGTGCTCGTAGTGATGCTGATGCTGCGCGTGCTCGTAATAGATGACTTTGGCGGGCTGATTCTTCTTTATCTCGAGCCAAAACCTGGTTGCGTTCAGTATCAACGAGAGAATCGCGATGATGAAGAACTTCATCTGGAAGTGCGTGCTGACGAGTTGCAGCAGCAGACTGATCTTCGCCTTCATCAACATCGCCATCCCCATAAGTCTCTGCACGTACTTCTTCTTCTTCTTGTCTTTTTTGCCGCGAGCCTCTTCTGAAAAAAAATTTCACACTCATTTTGTCGTGCGAAAACTGTTGTCCGCAAAATAAAACGCGCAAAGAACATCGCGAAATAATTGAAGATGATTTGCCGTCGCGAGAGAGCGTTTCTGAGGCAAAAACTTTGAGAAAAAAAAATGATACGTAAGTGCTCCTACATTTATTCTAGATTTAATCAGGACGAAATTTCGCGCGAGAGAGTTAATCCGAAGATGAACATGGTGAGGACACGTAGTTGACCCATAAACCTTAACTCGAAACGAACTTCGTCTGATTTACGAGGGGAGCCGCCACGTCGAACGACTTTCTTTAAAAAAAAAATTAAGTCAACGTTTTCGTGGCCGAATTTTCTCGCAAATACATCGCGCGTTCCACCGACTAAATCCGCGACAACAACGATCACTAATACTTCAGCCTTGTTTTGCGAACGTTAAATATAAATCATTCCGAATTAGTGTAATGTCAGTCGAATTACTCCATTCGTCGTCGACAATTTGCTCGGAGAAGTACCGTATAATTTTTTTTATATGCTCCAAAAGAGATAACGAAGATAATGCTGGCGGTACCGTTACTGTCTGTCTGTCCGAGAATTTTTTGGCGTTAGTAATTAAAATCTCGGTCAAAACGAATTGTACGAATAAAAATTCGTTTTATCAATGAAAATTTGACGCTTGCCGATCATAATATTTGTTTGTTTCTTCTCGTACGCGAGGTTGCCGGAAAAAAATCGCAACGCGATCTGTACCGTTACTCTCTCGATTTGCTTAAGTCGAACGATTTAATTGACAGTGTCGGACTGACAATGTCAACGACACGCGAGCACAATCACGTGCACGTACGCGAGGCATTTAAACAGTTAGCCATCGAATGGGACCGATCGCGCGTTAACTTTGCGGTTTACTTTGTGTTCCCGACAGCGTTAGTTCTGATTTACGCACGCGATTGCGCCCAACCGACGTTAAACATTACGTATGCAAATACGGAACGGGGTTCGTTCACCTTTTGCCGTCGCAATGCCTGCGTCTGAAAAACTCGCGCTCGTCTTGTTGTGTCAATGCAATTTGCTTTGTTCGCGTGATCCACGATACACGGCTCGGTCGAAACATCCATTCATAGATCTCATTCACGGTCGTTTCTCGATATTTACTATTTCCTTCCCCACGGGCACTGTTGGCACGGTTCTTCTGTTTACAACGCTAGATATGTTTCATTGATTGAATTATAAGAGCGCGAAATAATTATAACCGTCCTATAATTTCATACGACATTTTTTCATGGCGAGTCTTTGGAAACGATATCGAACTGCAAGTAGAGAGTCGTCTCTCTTCAACAAAGAGTTACTGTTACCACAAGCGAAGATCATTTTTCAAATTGCTTCTCACATCCGTTTTTCTCCGGTTTACTTGAGAGACCGTGTCGACAAACAATAGCGTCGTTTTAAGGAAAACTGGTAAAGACACGTAACGGGGAAGAAAATCGGCACAGCGAAGTTTTCAGTAGAACCTGACTTCCTGTTCTTCCACATCTCTCCGCTGAAGAAAGAGACTGCGAGTAATCGGTAAGAGCTAACCGACTTTGTTCAACGGTGCTTCTCCGAAAGCGCGAATAAGGATCTTCTTCGTGTGCGCAAGCGAATTTATTACGATGCGTTTCACGTGTCGACCTCAGGAATCCGAAGCAGGAAGGCGATGTCTGCGGTTCGATCATACGACGTACCTTTTGATTTATCATTGGTTCGAGAACAACAAGATTTTGTGTGACTTTAACAAATTTTTTCGACGTATGAACAAAATCATTTTCTCGCCGATGTAATTTTTTTATAATTTTCCCGTGTGTTTCTTACCTATATTCTCGTCCTGAACCTCATCTTCCTCAACGATTTCTTTCGCGCCGCTCTCCTGCAGGTCGTCAACGATCTCCGCGATCATCGTGCCAGCTTGCTCGATCACCGCGCTCATCGGCGGCTTGTTCTTTTTGCCGGTGACTTCTACTTCGATTCGGTCCAAGTCGCGGGCCAGTCTTGTCCTGAGGCAGTTTCCGGCGTTGTCCTCGAACATGCATTCTAAAATGCCGACGTCATCGTCGTCAGAGTTAATATCCTGCGTTGTCTCCTCACAGTGAACGTACGCAGCAAATCCAAGAACCAACAAGATCCACACGATTGCTCTCATAGTGACGTCTGACTTCGTCGATTTTTGTTTTTCGCCGACGACCCGGACGCAACTAAAAATCACCACGAAAATCGCGACCGTCTGGCGAACCACCGCGTCCGTCACCCTCCGGTTTTTTTCTGATCTTGACCGCCGACCGTGGCCTTGGACCGTGTGTCACAGATTCGAAGTGGTTGTGAAGCGTGCGTGGTCGAACATATATGAGTGTCCCTTCCATCCCAACTTCCGCCAATAGTGGGTTTGGTTTCACGCGAGTCCAGTGTGCCACCCCCCCACTGTGGTGGCTGTCGTCCTGGACGAACAAGACCTCTCGGGTCTCACCGCGGATTCGTGTTTGTGAATGAAAAAGAATTCGGATATTGCCGATAAATGGTATCGATACGACGTGTCTTTACGCGAATAATTTATGCGACAACTTTCGTTTTCTCTATGTTATATTTCGCGAAACTTCTTGTCTCTCTCGTCTATAATTTTTCTCATTTCTATTGTTTCTTATTTGTCTCTCGTGGACATTTTCTTCAACGTTTGCAAAATAGAAATAACGTCGAGTTTTATTGAAATTAGTATCAAACTTTTTCGGTTGAGAAAATGGAGAAAAATTAAAAAAAAATACTTTTTCTTGCGTGCTAAATTTTACAAGAAGAAGTAAACGAAATTTATAACAATCGTGACAACAATATTAAAGCGGTAATCCACTTGGCACGATACGTGAATCGACAACGAGAATCGACAAGGATGCTAATACAACCCAATTTCCACCACTTTTATCGCCGTTTCAAGAACGGAGAAGATATCAAAATCGCAGTGAAATCGGCACTTTCGGAAAACGACCGAATAACAGACTGGAAGTTGTTGACGTGATAAAACGACGTTGTAAAATGACGTTTGAACATTCGCTGATGTGTTCTTCGTAATTGTTATTGCACACGTACTTGGTTTGATCTATTACACTCGATTATCTCAGCCGCGACGACATTGTATTTCGTCTCGGTTCGTTCACAGATATGTTTCTCATTTGAAATATTACTTGTTAGCGCTCATTCGCGATTACCATAAGAATGGCGTTCCGCTTTTTAGACGTTTAGAGCTTCGTGGTCACGCGTGCGCCCGACTGTCACAACGTTTCTCAATGGCTTTTGCCGTGCGTTAATTAACCGCAAACACGAATGCCGATACGTGCGACCGTATCCATTTCGTGAATTATGCATCGATCAATCCGAGTATGGAATCGCGTCACCTTTCGCCGTCGCGCGATTATATTCGCCCTTTTGCGTATTTTGCTCGCGTCGTCGATTTAATCGCCGATTACACGATGTAATAGGCGATCACGACGTACGATCGGTCGCGCATACGTGAGATTGCGCGAAACTGTCATAAAAGCGAAAATACGGCTTATCCGCGTAAAGGTCCTCCCGTGCGGACATTCAACATGTTTATTCACTAAAAATGTTCCTCGCAAAAATTCCACATACAGGCCCCGTCTTACGCGCGACCGTAACGCTTCGGGAAAAACAGCAATCACGCAAAATCTAGGAATAAAATACTTTTGTAGAACGAAATTTCAGCATCGTATAAAACTTTACTATCGTAACCCGCTATCTCCCGTTATTTATGTGACAGTTTAATCATTGTTTGTTCCCTAGGAAGATGAATTTTGTCTTATCATCTTTGAAACATCTGGCCGATGCAAGCGAATGCTGAACGCTTGACTTCTCTGTATATAAATCACATGTGTTTATTGCTGTATATATATTTACGCAAACGCAAAAGTAATTCTGACCGAATTTTTGACCGGTTTAACTGCTTTTTGTTTCGCACGCCGAGTGCGCGATCTTGTTAGAATTCCTGTTAGAAATTGAAGACAAATTTAGTGAAACATCACATTTGTTTACGTATATTGTCTGAGTTTACCTTATATTTTTATTAAAAAACACTTAAATACATATGTAGGTTAGTGTTGTAGAAAATAGCTGTGGAAAAGATGGCGGCTAAAAATTTTGAGATAAAAATTGGAATTACGTGAGAGAGTGACCTCACGACCAGTACCAACGAAACAAGTATCCTTTGAGGCCGTGCTTCTCGCTGGTCGTGTTCGCTTGCGGAAAGAACGTGATGTTGGGCTGATGTCCGAATTCGTTTGACAGGTACCTCACTTGCGTGTCGACACCGTCTTCACTCAGCGACCGATAACTACCGTTCTTCCTTCCGTCGCGATAGCCGTCCTCGTTATGGCCGTGCGACGTTATCGTGTAGTTGAACCGATAGTACAGATCGTTTGCCATCTTTTCCAGAACCCGATCGCTCACGACGATTTTCTTATCTTCGGACAGCAGCTTCTTCGCAGCTCGCACCATGCTCGTCACAATGTCTCCCGTCGGCTGGCTCTTCGCTTTCGCACTGTCTTCCTTCTGGATAATATGAGGTTTTCCTTTTGGAAGGAAACTCTTGGAAGATGTTATATTCGCTGTAGAGAATCAAAACGCGTTGATTTTTTTTTTAACTGTTTTATTCCAAGTAAATTTTTCACTTTTCTCACCTCGTTTCACGGTTTCCGTCAACGTCCTCATCATCTGCTTTATTATCGGATCCATTTTTTTCTGTAGCGGCGATTCCGTGGTCACCTTTGCAGGTTTCGGCCGATTGTCCTCCTGTTTTCGGGGTATCGGGATCTTGCAGCCGGCGCAGGCTTTCGCCACGGCTTCCAGCAACTTCTTCGCCGCTTCCGGTCGGTCCTTGAATATTTCTTGCGCGTCTTTTACTTTGAAACACGAAGATAAGAACGTTCCGAAATTAAGCAAATCTGATTTCTCATTGTTTCGCTTAAACAAAATGCGAGCTTACAACTCGTTATTTTCCGGTTTCTTTGTCTGGTGATGATAAAGTCGCCGTTTTTGTCAGTGGCGTATCCAGTCTCGTGATAAACGCCGTCGGCCGTGATGAAACCGTATTCTCCGGTAATGAGTCCCTCGGCATCTCGACAAAAGTGTCACACTCGTTATTTGATTTGAAGATTATTTAACAAACGTGTTCGCGTGCGACAAAAAAAAATCTCCGCGTTTTACTTTAACTTCTCTAATTGGTTACTACCTTTCTTCTCGTATCTGTGCTGGAAGTCAACGATGTTGAAGGAGAACTCGTACGGTCTGTTCGCGTTGTCCGCGGCGACAGCGCGACGCTGCTGCGCGAATACCAGCAGGACACACAGGCACAGAAGATCGCACCATCTCGTCTGCAACGAAAATTGCTTCGAAACAACTGATAACGCTTTTGCATTTTCTTAGGTCGGCCTTGGATTCTCACCACGAAGGACGACATCCCGCGGAGGAGAGAGCCCTGCGGCTTCGAGTACGCGCGACCGAATGATATTATAAGCGCGGCGTCCCGCGAGCGTGCATTGTCGGTGACGTAAGAACGGGCGAGAAAAATCCTCGCTCGTTTTCTCCGCGGATTATCTTACGATCCGACACGAGGGAGGAGACGGAGCCCGAGAAGGAAGAATCCGTTGGAGACCTTTGACGGATTTTTCTCGAATAAATATGCTTTCACGTTCCACGTTTCAAGTTACTTGATTGAGAAATAATTACACAAGCATCAGTAACTGCTGTAACTCGTCAAGGATCGAACATGTCGCGCCGTATAATTTTATCTCGTATCTACAAAGTTGCACCGTGCAACGTCAACGATGACATGTGTTTCAGAAAGTGACACAAAATAGTGACACGAATACGCGAGAAAAGTTGTTAATATTTAGATTCTTCAAGTTGTTCGAAGACAGCACACACACCTTTGTTGCGAGAACACTAATATGTTTTTTTTTTTTGCAGAAAGTCACTACTTTCATTTTAAAAGTAGAAACCAATGTTGTGACAGCGATTGTCAAATTTTACATTACTAGTACAACACAGGCGCGCGCTACGCGCACGCTATTGTTATTTTTATTTAACGTGTTGTCAGTGAACACAACCTGTCACCGCGATGACAGATAGTATATACGTCTTATAAACCATATAATACACATATGAGAAATGTCAGAAATAACGCA